AGCTGCTTCGCAAGACGATTTTCCCTATGGGCTTGCTTCGCAAGACAGAAACGTCTTGCAAGTTTGTTTCCTTTTCTTAACACCGTTAATACAGTTGCGACTTGACTTCGAGGAGCAACTCATAGAACACGGTGTGGTAGCCTTTTTTTGAGGTTTTTAAAGACTCTGGTGATTTATGAAGCTTTTCCAAAACTTTCCCGACACCGTGCTTCGCAAGACGAAAGAAATCGCAAGACGACAAAACTCGCGGAACGAATTAATTTCGTCTTGCAAGGCACCACTGTGTCTGAAAAGTTGATTAGAAAATGTCTAATAAACCAGACTGGCAGTTGGTATTTGGCGAGCCAACATGACAGTGATGTGGGATTGAGGACTGGAGTGATAGTCCTGTGATATTATGGCAGTGGAAAAAGCTGTACTGTAGCTTTTGAATAAGTGTGATTGTGTGTGTGTTTTTGTGTGTGTGTGTGTCAACTGGAGTCAAACAGTTCCCAAGACTAGCACAGATCTATTGCAAAAGAGCTGCAGAACAAAATCCTGGATGAACTTTGGAATTTTTTATTCAGCACTGGTGCCAACTTCATAATAGCAACAAATTTTAGATAAAATTAAGTTAAAATAGCTGAACAATAGCATGGAGGAGTAAAAAGGCAATAGGATTAAGGCAATGACAAATGTGGTTTCTGCAAAGACAGTAAGGGGGATTTTCCTCCATATATAGTGGAGATGTCAGGAGGCAAGATGTTACTGGAAGATGGTGTGGTCAGCGCTAAATGAAATGCTTAAAACAAGACTGATTAGTAAACCATTACTACATCCTTTGAATTGTGTGGAGAAAGAAGATTAAAGAACAGTTGGCCGCAGGTATTTTAGAAAACTTTTTGCGGAGTTAGTATATTGGCATAGCAGAACTTGCTGGGGCCTTTCCTTTACCAATAATTGCTTTCACAAGTTAAAATTTTAACTGTGCTACTCATCAAGCACAGCACTATGTATGGGGTTTATAAAGAATAAGCAGCAAAGTATCAAGAGAAAGATAGACAGGATTGCAGGTCTGATTGTGCTTTTGGCCCCAAAGCTCTCCAGCTCTGGCCCAGCCATACCACAAAATGTGCTAGCTATGTAGGTATGCCACAGGTTGGCCACACATGCCCCAGACTCAGTAGATCTTGGGCAGTTGCTAAATAAATTCCATTTATCTTTCCTTGCACCAACTAAAATGCAACAAAATAGTAGGCAAGCTTAGGAGTTCTCCAGGCTGGATGTTGAGCGAAACTGCAGAGGTGGTAGTGAAGGCACGACGGTTATGCAATTGCTCTGGCATGTATAGAAACCAGAATTATGCCCATGTTATATTAAGATCATGATGTGGGTCTATCAATGGCATACCAATTTGGGAGCTTAAGTCATATGTGACTCAGAAAATCCAAAATAGCCACATGGCTGAGGGAAGGATCCATCCAAGACCATGGAGAATATGGCCAAGAATCTCCCCATGGGCCTCACTGTTCTTACCCTAATGACATCCTGTGGTAAAAATCGCAGGATACATTCCTGGACATTATGGGAGATTCCAACCATTCCCCCCTCCCTCAGGGATCTAATAATGACACTGATGAGAAAAGGGGCATTCTGTGGACACCAGGAGGAGGAAGCCAACGTGTAATTGGGCTGACACATCCACAAAACATATTCTTCACCACAAACTTCAACACACTTGGCCAAGCAAAACATGACCATGCTCAATAAAGAATGCTCACCTACTCAAGAGGACCTCTTATTGGGAGAATAATAATTTTAGGATTCCCACAGGATGGGGTAATTTTTACAGGGCGTGTTTAGACAAGCTTGCATCCAGTACAGAAGAACACATGGGAAGTTACTGCAAACTTCCCTTGGCATCTCTCACTGTTTTGCCAGCTTGTTGGAATATGTAGATGCCTATGGATCTGCCTCAGAAAGCTGCCTTATGTCAGGTCCAGTCCAGTATTGCCTGATCTGACTTGCAGCAGATCTCAGGCACACCTCTCTCCTATCGTTGGCTGCGAGGTCCTCTTTTACATGGCATTTCTGGGGAATGAACCAGGGATCTTGCACGGGGGTTGGCAAAGTTTTTGTGGCTTGGGCCGGTTCATGGTCCCGCAGACGCTGCGGTGGACCGGAGTGTGTGTGTGCACACACATGCACAAACGCTATTTCCGGCACTCCTTCTGGCACGGAGGAGGCGTGATTAGCTTCCCATTGGCTGCAGGAGCTTCCCACAGCCAATGGGAAGCCGGCCAGCGTCATAGAAGGCGGTCCTCGTTCTACTCCGCACAGGTTTAGCGCAGTGCACGGGAGCCAACCGAGCGGGCGGTGGGGATCCATGGGCTGGTTAAACGACCCCCATGGGCCGCTTGTGGCCCATGGGCCTTAGGTTGCCCACCCCTGATCTTGCACATGCAACACCTTTGCTTCTCCATGAAGCTATGGTCCCACCTTCGCTTGTTAAAGCAGTAAGGTCCAAACGGCATGTGATACTTATCATGCAGTTTGCCCTTGAATTATTGCTTTTTCTTTCACAAATGTGCTCCAGAGAACCCTCTAGAGCAGTTTTTTTTTGGGGAGCACAGGAGGAAAGATGAAGGGAAACAGGAAATCCCATTGCTCAAGCAGACTTCTGTTGTGTAAGCAGACAGACATCACTGGATGCCCTCTACACTCTTTGCCTGCTCTTTCTTTTATTTCTTGCGCTTCTTTAAATACACTGTAATTATAATTTGTGCGAAATTCTCTTGCATTTGACTCTGGAAACTTCTAATGAGTACTGGTTAATTCACCCTGACTACCTCAGATAGGAATTCCCAGGCCTGTGCAGGTCTACTCAAAAGTAACTCTCACTGGATTTGATTGGCTTACGTTTAAGCAAGTATACAAATGGTTGTTTCCCCTGGTACAGCAGACTTAGGGAGCAACATAAACCAAAGACTCACTGGAATGGTGTTAGGATCCAATAGATCTCTGGCTCAGCTGCCAATACCTGGTGCAGCCAGGCTCTGCTGGCATAAGTCCCACACCCTGGCTCAGCCAGAGAGATACACCTCCCTCCCAGCTCAACCAGGGCTGAGCCCCCTAAGCTGAGACTGGTGTAAGCCCTGGGGGAGGGACGCAGGTGGCGCTGTGGGTTAAACCATAGAGCCTAGGGCTTGCTGATCAGAAGGTCAGCAGTTTGAATCCCCGTGACAGGGTGAGCTCCCATTGCTCAGTCCCAGCTCCTGCCAACCTAGCAGTTCAAAAGCACATCAAAGTGCAAGTAGATACATAGGTACCGCTCTGGCGGGAAGGTAAACGGCGTTTCCGTGCGCTGCTCTGGTTCGCCAGAAGCTGCTTAGTCATGCTGGCCACATGACCCGGAAGCTGTATGCCTGCTCCCTCGGCCAGTAAAGCGAGATGAGCGCCGCAACCCCAGAGTCGGTCATGACTGGACCTAATGGTCAGGGGTCCCTTTACCTTTAAGCCCGGGGGGTGGGGAAGGATGCTCTGGAAGATGGGTGGAAGTGAGGCTGGGAAGGGGTGGTGAAGTACATATGCTGGATCGTAACTTCATTCAGTTCAGTCACATGACCTGGTAACTCAGAGGTTACCCAGAGGTCTATGCTTGCAAAAAACGGTGGTGCATGCCAACCTTTTAAAGACTCCCCCCCCCCCCGGTCAGGCTTAGGTGAGCTCAGGAGGCAGTAGCCCTGCTTCTGAACAGATAAATTATGCCATTTTAATTTAAGGCAGCAGAAGGTCTGCCGGCTTCCTATACTTAGGACACTAATACTGGTATGTGAGTGAAAGTAATTCCTTTCTGATTTTAGTATGCCACACACACACACTTTTATAAATGGGAGAAACTTGCCTATTTGCTCTCAACAGACAGCTGGGAGAAAAAGAAACTCCTATTCCCCAAGCCATACAGCCAGGAAAAATGGAAATAAATAATAACATAAAAATACAATCAATTTATTTTTATCAAACAAAATAGTGCTCCTTCCAATTGTCCTGAGACTACACAGAAAGAGGGAAGGGAAACTTAAGAAGCGGGGGGATGGGACAAGAACAATAAGCAGCTTCAGGTGGTGCCAGGGGTTGCATTAAAGTGACGTTGGGGGTCAGATGGGATGCAACTTGGCCACTTGTGCTTTAGTACAAGTGAGGGAGTGGAAAGAAGCACAGCTGGCATGCAGAACATCTGGGTCATTTGAGGATACATTGACAGGTATCTGAAAAACACGGTACTCTAGGACTGAAATGAGATGTAAGTATAGATAACATGTGCTTCCTAAGCAAACTTCTGGTTTGAAGTTGGAAGTGTGGGGAACATATCATCATTTAGGTAAGGAAGCAGCAAAAATATCATGGGTTTCATGTACTCCGTTATCCTTCATATGCACTCATTTCTTGTTTTACAGAAACCACAGGGTGCCAGGCTGCCCAAATTGGGACAAACTACAGTGTGACCAAACTACAGTTTGCATCCAAACTGGGAATACACTTGAAATCATGGGTGCTGATTGTAGCTTGTGCACACCATAGTTTGCTGGATTTGGATGTCACGGCAAACTATGGTTTGCACTCGCCCGAAAAGAAATTAATAGAATGCAGTGGGAGGTGGGAGCATATTAGCACATAGTTTATTCATGATGGCTGACCAGAGCCAACACATATTCAATGTCTTGCTTCTATGGTCCCAAACCAATTTCCAGCATTCTGTATTGCCTAAGAGATAATCCGAGGTTTCTTACTACTCTGGGCTAAATATTCACTCAAGTGTTTCCAGCAGTATCGAAGTCTGCTTTTGTTTGGAAATAAGATTTCCATTTGCACAAAATGCTAAGCAAACCATACAATGTTGACTTTAAGATTAAACTCAAAAGGGACTTTTCGCATCTCCCCAGCAGGAAGCAAAGGAATGCCTGTGACTGTGTTTGTAAATTTTAAAGTATTAAAAGTAACAGATACAGCCTCAGTTTTTTAAAAAAACAAGCTCACAACACAGAGATTTTCAGAGAGAATGAGACATCCTGGAGACCCTCGATAGGGGAGGTGCTTAGGAAATTCATGAGTCTCCTTTAGCTGATCCATTTTTGCCCCTGGAGAGGCTTCCTGCAGGACGCTAAATGCATAAAACAGCATGCTCTAAACAGTCATGCTGCCTCACTACGCAACCCTCACCAGGAAGATAACGGATATACAAGAAAGAGGAATGTTACTAGCTGCACATGTTTGAGTCCTCTTCTCAATCTAGCTGAAGGAAAGGACACTGAATAATTTGGAACAGCAGATGATTATATCCTTTTCAAAAAGAAAAACGCAGAATCTGAAAATGGACCACAGAGCCAGCAGCAGCTGAGACAGATCTGCCTGACAACTTTTTAACCAAGCTTGGGACTCAACAAGAAACTGGGACTCAACTCCCACCCCACCCCCCCGCCAGATTCGCACATGTCAGTGGGGCACTGACTGCTGGAAGACGCTATCTAGATAACCTTCGCTCTTTAACAGCGTTTGATCTTCTGATTTACAAAGGAGAAAATGTGGCGGCATGTTTGCTTTATTCTGAGCTGCAATCTCGCTCTCGTTCTGGGATTCAACTCCTTTAGGAAAAACATAGAGACCCTGGGCAAAAAGCAGTACCAAGTCCAGCATGGCTTGTGCAGCTACACTTTCCTATTGCCTGAAACAGAAAATTGCCGTTCTTCTTCTTCTACCTCCTATGTTTCCAATGCAGTGCAGAGGGATGCACCTTTAGATTATGATGATTCCGTACAAAGGCTCCAACTTCTTGAAAACATCCTGGAGAACAACACACAGTGGCTAATGAAGGTAAAAAAACAACCTGTATTATTTCTATCCTACATGCGGGTTCTTGCAGCAGCACAATTTGCTGATTTGTTGTTTTCCCTTTTGACGAGTGAGTACATTGAGTTGCGGAACATTTCATTCACTTGCTCTTGACAAACAACTTTGTCGAAAACATTTAGTACGACTGCATGCTATTTACAGCCATGTGAAAAATCCAGCGTGAGGAATTTTGTTTCCTGAACTAGAGCAACGGGCTAACTGATTTATTTGTTCTAAAATATTGCACCATGTTTTTCAGGGAGGGGAAAAAAAAAAAAGCTTTCAAACCTGTATGCTATGAACAGCTAGAAACAGCTTCTTTGTTTCTATCCATATTATATTTTCAGAATGACATGCGGCGGGTGCAAGCTCACATGCACGCAACTGTCAGATATGCAGGGTTTCATACGTGGAATTTACTTCCAGTTAAATTTGCTTAGCACTGCAGGCAACAGTTAGCATTATTAAGGTCTGATTCACACCATGAAAAAATAGCAGGAAGCCCAATTTTACACTGTGTGTACCCATAGCCTAGCGTATAATGTGCAAGGAGGGATCATTCTTGTGTAGAGGCTGTGAAGAATCAAAGTTAATTGTGGCTTCCTACAGTGTGCACGTATGATTTAAAATGAGATATGCTTGAGTCCCAAAGATTTGAATGGGACTTTGGCAACGGTATTCTTGAACAACAGCTCTGTGGACTGGCGCAGAATGTATCTGTGAATATTATTTTAATCATTTTGAATGTCTTAAGTTACTGACTTTGATACAGGGATTCAATTTTGTGTGTGAAATAACGTTACTTTGGGTGGCGTCTGGATTAACTATTGTTTTGTTCTAAAAGTCTCTGTGTAATTCCTGCACCACTAGACTATGATGGATTAATATGTGATAATTGGTTAGTTACAAACAAATGGACTTGTGAACAAGCATCCTACATTGAAAAAGCTAACAAAATCACTTTCTAGACTATCGAACAGTTTATCTAGACTGTATGACAGTTCAATCTATTCATGTTTACTCTGAAGTTGAGATTTACTTCAAAGTAAGTGTGCAAAGGATGGCATCATAGACAAACTGAACAGATAGTGCAGCTTAACTGCATGATATCCTTGCAAAGTCACATGATACAAGACATGTCTTCTGAGGATGAAATACATGCGCTGAAAACCTAAGCCTGCTGATTCAGAGGTAAGGTCCCATTAAGTTCAGTTAGATTAATTCTCTAGGGTTCTTGCTAAGGACTGAAGCTTTAAAGGATCTCATTCAATATCTCAGTATATTCATTAGAGAAGGCTGCAAATACTTAGAGTACACCTCACTAATGCAGCATCACAAAAAATTAAAATCAATATAGGCCCTGTTTGAAGCTTTTAATCAAACATGTATTATGAGCTGTTATTGCAGACTAATGTGTCCCACACCTTCCTATGATAAGAAGCAGATAAGATTATAAAGTAACACTGAACAGTTATGTGAGAGAATTTAAAACTGCATTTAATAATCTAAAATATGCTTTGGGGAAGGTTGTTTAAATAGCTGTGTATCTAGCAGAACGATCCTAGGTACCGGTATGTCCTTTCAAAAGTATGTCTGTCCTATTGAGTCAAATGAGACCTTACTTCCCGATAGATGGGAATCTTATACAGATTATTTTAGAGCAAATCCCATTGAACATCATGAGCGTTACTTCTGAGTAGGCATTGGTAAGATTGAACTTCAAGCTGCAAAATGTTTACCATAAATGTCATGCCACCATTCATATAGACAGGTAGGTAGGTAGGTAGACGGATAGAAAATGGGTTTCAGAACCCAACTTTATGTCCATTGTTTTTATATTTACTTAAATAACAACACTGAATTACAAAAAAGTTTACTTTCCACACCCCCACCCTTTTACTTTAAGTAAAAAACTAAAATAACTAGGAGAGTCAGGATCAATTGCAAGACTGCCACAACACATTTCTCAGGTCAGCAATTTTATTTATTGCTTTTTCCTATAAATCTCTGGGAATTTCTTTATGACAAGCACATTCAGCATAGTCATTAAAACCAGGTACTTACTTTTGGAGGTCAGTCAATTCATTTAAAAAACAAATAAACATTCTATTTCTACATTTTATCAACTGACAATGCAATTGTGCAGAAGTAAGGTCCATTGGGTTAAACGAAACCCTAACTTTCTATTGGATGACACTGGTTTTGTGTTTGGCTTGTCATTCCTTTAACATAGGGCACTTAGGCTATCTTACCCTCATTATCCTCAAGCAACTTAGGTCCCAAACTGTTTTCCTAATGAAACCTAGTAAATAAGAATAACATGAAGAAAAATCCATAGGGATCATTCCAATTCATTATTTATAAACTCTTTTACTTATGCTAAGGCAAATGAATGTACATAACACATGGATGCCCTCGAATGCCACTTTGTAACCATTTCAACCGGTTCTGGAAAATCTGACAAATTTAATTTTCCCTTTTTCCTTTGGTGAGCCTTTCTAAACCCTAGGAACCACTTATTTTTGAAGGGTGCTTGAAATAACACTGCCAGCATAAAAATCTTTCTAGCACCAGTTATGCACAAAATCTTTGTTTCAAATGCATTCTACATCCTCACACAGTATCACATTTCCCACCTTCAATCAGTCATCAAAAGGAAATGTTATCTTTCTGAATGGACACCAAACTGTCTGAATGGAAGAGAGTGGAAATCACTGTGGATGCCTCACAATCACAATAGGAAGCTGGAAGGTGTCAGAGTTGCTGTGCATTCCGGAAACTAACAGAAAACCAAGGCCAGTGTTTCAGACGTTCCTAGAAAACCACAACCACCATGGAAGGGCTTGCAGTTAAAATGAGATTACTATTATTAGCACACCACTTTATCTTCCAATATCTTTTAAAACCCCTTTTCTAAAAATACCAATTTGTCTGACGTCTGAGCAAAACTAATATCTGGCATACCAAAAGAACAGGCTAATTTCATACAATATGTTCCAGCAAATCACAATTCAAGAGGAAGTATAATCCTATAATGCATATAAGATTCTGCACCACAATAGTCCTTTGAAGTCTGCCACAACCCCGGAATTTTCCATTTTTATTTAAGTCTTCCCAGTATTGCAGGAGAAAAACAAAGCCTGCTTGAGTTTGTTATAGGCTAAACAATCTATTACATTCCCTTGTAATCAATTTCTAAAATACTTGATAATATAATGTTGTTTCCAAGAAACAACTATTGCTATTGTGAGTCTACAGTTGCAGTAGGTTCAAGATATGGAAAAATGAGGCTTTTACCCTGGTGTGGTTTGCAAACAGGTACAGCCATTAATTTGATTCACAGCTGCTTCACAGAAATAGCCTAACATATCAGACGAAGGGGTTGACAGATCTGATGGTCGTGTAGTTACATTATTACAGCTAGGAATGTTGACAAATGAGATGCGCTGCCCTCTCAAGAGAGGCATGAAATAGTTAAAGGTTATCTGTGATGGAGAATAAACTAACTTTCCGCTAGCTGTTCTGAAAGGACCGTGCAAACCAACTGTGGAGATGCCCACAAAATAATGGCTCAAGAAATCTTTGCACACTCTCTCACACAAACTTTATTCCATGTACATAAGCTTACATATATACACTCAAACTGGCCAAATGCTGGCAAATATGCCTCTACTTCCCCAAACCCTACACCAGTGGTGTCCAAACATTTTTCAAAGAGGGCCAGATTTGATGAAGTGAAGGGCCGTGAGGGCTGACCAAAGGGCTGACTAAAGTTGTTAACTACAGTGTGGTTGAGCTTTTTTAGGATTGAAGTTGTTGAGGTTTTTTTTTTAGGGTTTAAGTTGTTAAGGTTTAGGATTTTACCCCAGGAAATTAACTGCCACAGGGGCCGGATTGAACCAACCAACAGGCTGAATTAGGCCCCCGAAACGGACTTTGGACATGCCTTCCCTGACTGACACTTAGCTGTGCAGATTCACATTCTCTTCTGTAGGCCCGTTTCCCTCCTCATTCATGTCTGTTATACAGAGGAACCTTTGCCCCTCGCCCAGGCTCTTGCCATTTCCTCTCCCTAACATCTCAGCGTAACGTGTATTACAATAATATTGCTTTCCATGCCGTTATTATATCCTCTGCTGAACATCATTGATAGGGAGCATGTAATTAAAAGCCACGGGATGCATTTGTAGTATTCAAGGGAGGTGTTGGTGTTGCTAGGGAACCTGTTTATTTATCAGCATGGAAGGCACAGCAGCTGCTTGTCAGTTAGTGCAGGGCCTTGTAATCAAAGGAGTGCACAGGATGAGACTGGCATAATGGTTGCTGACGATGCAAAGGTAAATGAAGGGTCTGCATGGGCTGCCTTGCTGGAAATGCTCTCCTCTGTAGTTTTGACGGGAGAGAAGCATTTGGGAGATCTCTCACAGGGAGAGCAACCTAGCCTATTCACAACCTTGGTTTCATATTCCACAAAGTATCTCTCCTACCCTGAGTGGTGAAAGTGGCTTTCTGAAGGAGGGCTAGCAATGGATCAATTAAATACCACTTACATCTTATCAGGCAATAGTCAGGCAATAGTTAGCACATTTCGCATGAACAGTGCCATGCTTGGCTAGCCCCACCTCCAGACATGCTGGCTTGCCTTAACTATCTCTGCATTCAGTGGACCAGGAACCCAATCGTGTGGAAGCCTTCACATATATCTGCAAGCTTTCTTGCTGCAGACTTTCATGCCAAATGCGCAGACAGCAGGGGACAGGACAAGTCAGCATGCTTGATGTCAGGGGTGGGACTAGCTGGCATAGCCCTGATCACAATTTGATCAGTGAGCGGGGAATAGAGAATTCAGCTATTTGCAGAGACTGTTGTCTTCTGTAAGATTTCAGAAGCCAGGTCCCCCCGGAAGCTTTAAAATGCACCCCCCTGTCCATAGCAAATGCAAACGCCTTAGCAAATGCAATTGACCTGTGCCAGCTTTTGTTTATAATCATTCTGGCATCTAGGACAAAGTGCCTTTAAGCATGAATAGAGTTCCTTCCACTCCAAGATCTTGTTCTCTGGAGGCCTTAGGTATTACAACACCCTACAGAACCTGTGTCAAATACTTAAAGGATTTACTACTCCCTTCCCGTCGAAGAGCCTTTATGCTCGCGAGATTAAATGCTTTCCCTTCTGCAGCAACTAAAGGCAGATTCTCATACACTCCATATCAAGCCCGTTTGTGTGCCTGCAACCAAGAAGTACCAGATTCAATGGAACACATTCTCTTAGATTGCCCTTTACATAGCAGACCTTGCCAACTGATGCTGAGTAAAATGTTGGACCTCTGGCCCACAACCCAGAGGAGAAATCAAATGAGGTTTCTGCTGGCAGATTGGGACAAAGATACCACTGCTCTAATAGCTTCCTTTTTAGCCACAATTTTGCCTGAAAGGGTTCCCAACGAACCATCCCTTCGGGAAATAGACCCTATACCCCTTGACAGCTTCAACCTTGTCCTTTAATTATCCCAGTGATCTGAAACGTTTTATATTGTGATGCCAATAAAGGTACTTGACTTGACTAGAGTTCCTTCCGCCTAAAGGAAGTTTAAGAAAAGAAAAATCTAAGGACAATATTCATTTTTGCCCCTGTCTCAAAGGTGGCTTGGGATGTGATGGACAGGCAGTTGTTTGACTAATGCATATGAAGCTCTGGTTCTGCAATGAGACAGCTGGTTCATCTGCATGACTTCTGGGAGATCAACACAGCTGTATGCAAGGTCACCAAATGCACACTGCCACACAGCCCAGGTCATCTCCTTGGTTCTTTTACAGGTGACGCTGTGTGCAGCAACACAGCATGCATTTGGGATGCAAAGCACAGGGTATAGGAGTGCCCTACACAAATGTGCAATCATCATTCCCCAGCTACCCGGCAGTCTAGACCAGGACCACTATGCTGAATCTCTAACGGGCTCGTCTCCTGGTGTTCCTGAATGCCAAAGGCCTTGTTCCTGTTTAGAGATGCTCGCTAAACAGTTGAGAAAATGGACAGCAACAAGCTCACTTGAGAAAGCTGGCAGGCTGGTTATGTCCACTCTTAAATCAGGGAGCATGACCCATGACTCCTGCAGATCTCCAGAAGACGTTCATTCACTCACACACTTGTACTATTGCTGTCAGGTGACATCAAAATGCAGTAATAAGCAAGGCTGCTACCAGAGGCACCAGCTTGCAAGGGCGATGGGAGGGGGGTGATGTCACACACATGGTGTCTGGATGCTGGGAGGAGCTAGGGACAGAACCAAACCTGGTGGCCACGCAGCTTCAGCACCCATTGGCTCATCCTCCACCTCCTCTTGGTGCCATCACTGGCAGGAGACTGCTTCAACCCAAGGAGCTGGCCACTGGAGCTGTGCCACAATTGGCTCTATACTTTTGGGGCATGGGGGGGCCCTACTCCTGAAATATAGACAAACCCAAAAGGACTCAGCCCCCAGGAGCTGATGCCCCTGGCTGCACACTCATTCTTGGCTACATGGAATATCTGGAAATAATTCCCCATGCTCGGAGTAACAGGCAGCCAGCTGGGGAGGAACTTCAGTTCAATGGTAGAGTAGATGCTTCACTGTCTCACATTTAATCACTGGCACTTCCCAGTAAAGAATCTCAGATCACAGGGCTGGGAAAGACCTTGGAGAGGGCACTGCTAGTTAAACCAGACATAGTGAGCTAGATAGACAATTGCTCTGACTCAGTTATCAGGCATGTTCATCTGCGTTCAGCATTTGACTGGCTTCCCTGCCATACTTTGAACTGTTCTGTTCAAAAGCACAGAACTGAGAACAAGCACAACCTCCGGCAAACTTTTCATTCCCCTGTTCCTTTGCACATGGAAGGTGAGCTTATTTATGACAATTATTGATGGAACTGCCATTCAGACAGATGGATCAATGGCAACATCTCACTCAGTTGCGCTCCACGAAGGAGCTCCTGTGACAAAACCTAAAATGACTGGACCAAAGTTCAACACACCCTATTTTAGATCACAAAATAGACCTCTGGGCTTGTCCAGCTTTGTGGGAAAACATTCTTTTTTTCAAAAAGTATTTTAGTTAAGTTGTGCAAGAGCTTCTAGTTAAAACGGCTGCATACAAAAATTCCAAACAACTGATGTGTACAGCAGAAGGCCCTTTTTATAAAAAGCAGTTTTAGCCTGGAATATATATTATTATTTTTTTTACTTTAAGCTCTTTTTATAATGTCCATTGGCCAGTTTGCTTCCTGAGTGGAATAGGCTCACTTAACCGGGCAAACTTTAGATGCTTTGAAAAAACTGATGTAAATAAATCACTGACCTTTTCAAATCCTTTAATAGTCTAATGGAGAAAATACATACCATACTATACAGCTATTACACTGTTACAGTACAGCTGTTAATATCATTTTTAGTGTTAACATAATTTTGAGATCTTTGAGATGTGAGGAGACCCCACAGGCCAATCCGTTGTGTGTTAAGCTCCACACTACCATAAAATTTATTAGCTATGAGACAAAATAGTTCCAGTGGTTTTTATTTCAAATCATTGTTTGGTGTGCAAGAATGAGAGATAGCATAACAGAATTCAACAGCAGGTAGAAGTGACCTGTTTCAAGTAGCACCATAGAGGCGGGAGAAATAGATGAAGGCAGGAATTGGTGTACAAATAATTTGGTGAGATTTGAAATTATTCTAGTGGGTGGAGGCTTCCTTCAGGGAGCAAAATTTATTTCTATTTATGTACTGTTTTCAAGTTATTACTATCTTTTTTATATATAATTTTTTCTTAAAATGACTTCCCTTCCTCTCTTTCCATGGTTCATTTTGCATATCATAAATCCCTGCATCTTTTACATAAACTAAACCATTCAGTATTCCATTATTACATCCATCAAAATTTATTTACACTGTTGAATTTATCTTAAGGCTGCCAACATTTTCAAGTGTACACAATTCCCCCCCCCATATATTCAATAAACATTTTCCAATCTTCTCTAAATGTATGTTCTTCTTGTTTCTATATGTTAAGTCTGCAAGCTGCACATATTCCGTCAGCTCAAGTTGCCATTCTTCTTTAGTTGGGACCTCACTCGTTTTCCATTTTTGGACTAACAAAACATGGGCCGCAGTAGTGGCATACATAAATAATCGTTTTTGACACCTGGGAATTTCATTCTGGATTATCCCCAACAGAAATGATTCTGGTTTTTTTTTTTTTTTTTTGGAAAGTACTTTTAAACACTTTTTTCAATTCATTATGGATTATTTCCCAATACTCTTTTACACCTTTACAGGTCCACCACATATGAAAGAACGTTCCCTCTACCTCTTTGCATCTCCAGCACTTATCTGATTCAGTCTTATATATCTTAGCAAGCCTAACTTAGCAAGTTATTACTATCCATTTATTATTTCTATCCCATCTTTCTGTCAAGGAGCTCAAGGCGGCATACATGATTCTCCTGCTTCCCATTTCATCCTTATAAAGAGCTCTGTGAAGTAGATTAGGCTGAGTGATGGTGACTGAACAAAGTCACCCAGAGAGCCTCATGACTCAGTGGAGATTTGAACCCTGGTTTCCCAGGTCCTAGTCCAATACACCCAAATGTCATCTGGATGCTGTGTCAGACAGCAAGATGTCAGCAACGCTGCTTCCCCCTGTCTACCAATAATCCTCCACGGTGATGCAAAACCATTAGTGATTATTTTTATTCAATCTTCCTTTGAGCTGGTCTCCGGCCCACAGTTAAAGAAAGTACTGTTGTCTCTAGCTGACAGTACCACCAAATGCCACCAACCACATATAGTTTTCAATAGCACGAAAATGTTCAGCTTTGATTCATGCCATCACAAGTTGTGTGGATGGCGATTTTGACCTTAGAAACCTCTCTCTTTCTATACAAAGAGGGTATCTAGGTGATTCATTACACAATATATGAGTCTCTGAGCTGCACAGCAAGGTACACATTCTTAAGATATGGGCGTATAAAAACTTAGCAAAATCTGGTAGAAGATGACCAAGCGGAGAAGAGGTAAAAAAATTCCAGAACAGATACATAATGCATAAGAAAGCCTGTGGAAAACATTTGCTCTCTTAAAAAATACTTCAGTTCATTGGCACATATCCCTTGTCTTGAGAGTTTCTTGACTCTACCTAGTTTCTGTTGAATTGGCCACACAACCAGAGATTTTGAGAAGCAAATGGTCCAATGCAACAAGCATCTACAGAGCAAATAAGGCTCTAGGAGGAAGCACCAAGGTTATGCCACTGCGTGACTTGGGCTATTTCCCCCACATTGCCAAGGATGCTTCACTGTCTGACACCGTGCAAATGTGTCATATAGAATTGGACAGAGAAAATGCATGGAGGTGGTATCAAAGATGACCCGGATTTGGATAATCAGAACATACTGAGGGAGCTTGGTGGTGGGGATCTTACTCCCATGGCATCCTAACATTCGTACACTAATTAGTAACCTTCCTACCTAACTGTAAATAAACTTTAAACTGGACAATATTGTTATTTTGGGGTTTCAATAAGTTGATAATGCATGGTGTTAAAGATGGCCTTAAGTACTTTGTTGCAGTGACTCCATATGATCATATAGAACAAGACAATGTGTACAAAGTCTGGTTTTATTGTACAGGGTGATTCATAATGAAGCATACAGTGCTTCATTATGAATTACCCTGTATTACATATCTAACATATATTAATTTTATATATTCTGCTTGGTCTGTGTGGCTTCAGATGCCATTGGAAATGACCGGGTGGAGGCTTTGAAGCTTGCATTTATTAGGGAAGGAAGTATATTTTTCAACAGCCAGATCCACTTATTCCCTTATTAGATTGAATCCTATCAGACCTCTGCCCCATTTCTTTTTAAATTATTTATTGCCTAGAAACTGTAGATTTTGGTCTGACTTGTTTCTTGAAGTTACAGCAGGTTAGCCAGATGGAAAAGTTTCCAAGAAAAAAGAAACAAAGAAATGGCAGGGTGGGGAGTAGAACATCACTTGTCTAAGTCAACCTCTAAGTAATAATCATTTTAGCTCCAAGTGAGGTGTACTTTCTGCAAGACTTGAATGCAACAAGTAGGTTCTCATGACATATTGAATTTATACTCTTACGATATGTGCTTGGACAGAATATATTACTATTCTAAAGTAAGCTATTATCAATTCTGTTCTTAAATTTGATTATCGGGCAGAATAAATCCAAGAAGCTGGGAACATATAGGACTGGTTCACACCGAACTGTCTCTGCCTTTGCAAGTTGCTCCAATCTTCTCTAGCAAAAATGTTTCTTATTCAATAGCAGATGTGCATTCACAGTAGAAAACACTGCAGATATTTGAGAAACGTTTGTCCACCTGTTGCGTAACAACCTCTGTGAATATTTAAGAAAGGTCAATATGAACTTTTGGAAGAATAGTTTGGTAGCTTCTGAAATGCTGTGCTCAGGGGGCAGCAGGCAGAAAGAGATTTATATTCTTTCAAAGCGTGTTATTTTGAGAGCAATTTCCTTCAAGTGCAATACTGTTTAAGTTGGGTCTAATGCTTGGCTACCAGTAAATAGGTACCCTTAGGAAGCTAAAACACAAGCAGCATGCTTGGGAAATCAAAGCAGTCCCTTTATTGCTGTGTAAAAACAGGCACAAAAGCCAAACCAACTAAGCTGCTTTCCACAAAAACAGGCAGCAGCAGAATGCGAGGCATTTCACAGTCAGGGGCTGGAGGCATATAAAATTATCTCTGAAGGCAATTTATATCCTGTGATGCATAAATAGAAGGGGGCTCAACTCGCCAATTAGGCATTGTGGCTTGGATACAAAGATCCCTGTGCATGAGCAGAAAGGATTTCCGCACAACTCACATTCTTTACTAAACCTTCTCCCTAATTTTCTCCTATATGCACCCACAAAACCACCCCAGAAGCTCTAATGTTGAACGTGACGCGAAATGGGGATCTGCAGCTGAGGAATGTGACCTTCCCACGTGCCTAAGAAAATGCTTTTTGCTGTTCTTTCTACATTACACACGATGGAGAGCAGCAAATGGTCACAGCTTCATATTAATAATAATCATAATCATAATCATAATAATAATAATAATACCTTGCCCGTCTGACTGGGTTGCCTCAGCCACTCTGGTTGGCTTCCGACATATATTAAACATAATAAAACATTGCACATTCAAAAGCTTCCCTATACAGGGCTGCCTTCAGATGTCTTCTAAAGATGATAGAATTACTCATCCCCTTGACATCAGATGGGAAGCTGTTCCGCTGACCTGGTCAGTAACCTTACTGTCTATGTGTGAGTTTCCCCTTTATTCTGTTTTACATTGAGCATAGCGAACCTTAAGCTCTGCCCAGGTGCAATCTCTCAATGCTTCTTAATGGTGAAACTGAGCTGAATGAAATCAATTTTACATGGAAAAATAAACCAGTGACATAGCCATGATGATGGTTGACAAAGTCTATTAGGGAACTGAAAATTCAACAGCTTTCTGACTTGTTGCACGTACTATGTGCCCGCCATTTTCTTAATACCAGTGCTGTCCTGTCCCTGTCCCTTTAAAGTTCAGTATTATTAGAATTTCAGTTGTTCTGAAGAGGCTGGGGATGGTGTGTGGTGTCTCTCCGCCACTCGCCATGAACATTTCTCGGGTACTCTGCAGCCTCCCTTGGCACCACATGCTTCCTGATCTGAAAAAGGCCTATGAGACAAGTTTACCTCATAACGGGCTTTTAATTGAGGCCCAGAAACCTGGGAAAGCCACAGAGTACGGATCACTGGTGAGGTGATTTGGAGAATGAGAAGAAGGATGCTCCTAAACATCCCTTAAAGCTAGAGGTAAAGGTAACCCTCCCCTTCATGGATCACTGCCTTGCCGGGGCGAAGGGGCTTGAATATGCCGAAGCTATGAGCTATGCCGTGCAGGGCCACCCAAGATGGACAGGTCATAGTGGAGAGTTTTGACCAAACGTGATCCACCTGGAGCAGGAACCGGCAAGCCACTCCAGTATCCCTGCCAAGAAAACTCCATGGACAAAGACAACAGGTATATAAAAGTTATGACGCTGGAAGATGAGCCCCTCAGGTCGGAAGGCGTCCAACATGCTACTGAGGAAGAGCAGAGGACAAGTACAAGTAGATCCAGAGCTGATGAAGTGGCTGGGCCAAAGCCGAAAGGACGCTCAGTTGCGGATATGCCTGGAAGCGAAAGGAAAGTCCAATGCTGTAAAGAAAAATATTGCATAGGAACCTGGAATGTAAGAACCATGAACCTTGGTAGGTTGGATGTGGTCAAAGATGAGATGGCAAGAATAAATATTGACATCCTGGGCATCAGTGAACTAAAATGGACGGGAATGGGCGAATTCAGTTCGGATGACCATCATATCTACTACTGTGGGCAAGAATCCCATAAAAGAAATGGAGTGGCTCTCATAGTCAACAAAAGAGTGGCGAAAGCTGTACTGGGATGCAATCTCAAAAATGATAGAATGATCTCTACTGGTGCTGAAGAAACTGAAATTGACCAATTCTATGAAGACTTACAACACCTTATAGAAGTGACACCAAAGAAGGATGTTCTTCTCATTATAGGGGATTGGAATGCTAAAGTAGGGAATCAAGAGATAAAAGGAACAACTGGCAAGTTTGGCCTTGGAGAGCAAAACGAAGCAGGGCAAAGGCTAATAGAGTTCTGTCAAGAGAACAAGCTGGTCATCACAAACACTCTTTTCCAACAACACAAGAGACGACTGTACACATGGACATCACCAGATGGGCAGCATCAAAATCAGATTGATTATATTCTCTGCAGCCAAAGATGGAGAAGCTCTATACAGTCAGCAAAAACAAGACCTGGAGCTGACTGTGGCTCAGATCTTCAGCTTCTTATAGCAAAATTCAAGCTTAAACTGAAGAAAGTAGGAAAAACCACTGGGCCGGTAAGATACAATCTAAGTCAAATCCCTTATGAATACACAGTGGAAGTGAGGAACAGGTTTAAGGATTTAGATTTGGTGGACAGAGTGCCTGAAGAACTATGGATGGAGGCTCGTAACATTATACAGGAGGCAGCAACTAAAACCATCCCAACGAAAAGGAAATGCAAGAAAGCAAAGTGGCTGTCCAACGAGGCCTTACAAATAGCAGGGGAGAGAAGGCAAGCAAAATGCGAGGGAGATAGAGAAAGATACAGGAAATTGAATGCAGATTTCAAAAAAATAGCAAGGAGAGACAAGAAGGCCTTCTTAAACGAGCAATGCAAAGAAATAGAGGAAAACAATAGAATGGGAAAAACCAGAGATCTGTTCAAGAAAATTGGAGATATGAAAGGAACATTTCGTACAAAGATTACCATAATAAAAGACAAAAGTGGAAAGGACCTAACAGAAGCAGAAGACATCAAGAAGAGGTGGCAAGAATATACAGAGGAATTATACCAGAAAGAAATGGATGTCTCGTACACTCCAGGTAGTGTGGTTGCTGACCTTGAGCCAGACATCCTGGAGAGTGAAGTCAAATGGGCCTTAGAAAGCACTGCTAATAACAAGGCCAGTGGAAGTGATGATATTCCAGCTAAACTATTTAAAATTTTAAAAGATGATGCTGTCAAGGTGCTACACTCAATATACCAGCAAATTTGGAAAACTCAGCAGTGGCCAGAGGATTAAAATTCTACAAGGCAGGCTTAAGCAGTATGTGGACTGAGAACTCCCAGAAGTGCAAGCTGGATTTCGAAGGGGCAGAGGAACCAGAGACCAAATTGCAAACATGCGCTGGATTATGGAGAAAGCTAGAGAGTTCCAGAAAGACATCTACTTCTGCTTCATTGACTATGCAAAAGCCTTTGACTGTGTCGACCACAGCAAACTATGGCAAGTTCTTAAAGAAATGGGAGTGCCTGATCACCTCATCTGTCTCCTGAGAAATCTCTATGTGGGACAAGAAGCTCCAGTTAGAACTGGATATGGAACAACTGATTGGTTCAAAATTGGGAAAGGAGTACGGCAAGGCTGTATATTGTCTCCCTGGTTATTTAACTTATATGCAGAATTCATCATGCGAAAGGCTGGACTGGATGAATCCCAAGCCGGAATTAAGATCGCCGGAAGAAATATCAACAACCTCAGATATGCAGATGACACAACCTTGATGGCAGAAAGTGAGGAGGAATTAAAGAACTTTTTAATGAGGGTGAAAGAGGAGAGCGCAAAGTATGGTCTGAAGCTCAACATCAAAAAAAACGAAGATCATGGCCACTGGGCCCATCACCTCCTGGCAAATAGAAGGGGAAGAAATGGAGGCAGTGAGAGATTTTACTTTTTTGGGCTCCATGATCACTGCAGATGGTGACAGTAGTCATGAAATTAAAAGACGCCTGCTCCTTGGGAGAAAGGCGATGGCAAACCTAGACAGCATCTTAAAAAGTAGAGACATCACCTTGCCAACAAAGGTCCGTATAGTTAAAGCTATGGTTTTCCCAGTAGTGATGTATGGAAGTGAGAGCGGGACCATCAAGAAGGCTGATCGCCAAATAATTGATGCTTTTGAATTATGGTGCTGGAGGAGACTCTTGAGAGTCCCATGGACTGCAAGAAGATCAAACCTCTCCATTCTTAAGGAAATCAGCCCTGAGTGCTCACTGGAAGGACAAATCATGAAGCTGAGGCTCCAATACTTTGGCTACCTCATGAGAAGAGAAGACTCCCTAGAAAAAGACCCTGATGTTGGGAAAGATGGAGGGCACAAGGAGAAGGGGACGACAGAGGACGAGATGGTTGGACAGTGTTCTCGAAGCTACAAACATGAGCCTGACCAAACTGCGGGAGGCGGTGGAAGACAGGAGTGCCTGGCATGCTCTGGTCCATGGGGTCACGAAGAGTCAGACACGACTAAACGACTAAACAACAACAAAGGTACCCCTGACCGTTAGGTCCAGTCGTGGACGACTCTGGGGTTGCACGCTCATCTTGCTCTATAGGCCGAGGGAGCCGGCATTTGTCCGCAGACAGTTTTTCCGGGTCATGTGGCCAGCATGACTAAGCCGCTTCTGGCAAACCAGAGCAGTGCACGGAAACACCATTTACCTTCCCACCAGAGCAGTACCTATTTATCTACTTGAACTTGACATGCTTTCAAACTGCTAGGTGGGCAGGAGCTGGGACCGAGCAAAGGACGCTCACCCAGTCACGGGGATTCAAACTGCTGACCTTCCGATCGGCAAGCCCTAGGCTCTGTGGTTTAGACCATAGCACCACCCACGTACCTTAAACATCCCTTAGGCACCTCAAAAGTAACACAGGCACAACAGAAAGCTTACACCCGTCCCTGGAGAATTGCACTGACATTTTTCTCTCACTGTTGCTAATTTTCAAATACGTTCTCCCTCCCGCATTAACTGATGGAGAAATGTCAAAAAATGCAGGATAATATTTTTTGGCACAACGCTAATACCCAAACTGGTTCAGTTATATGAGTAATTTAAGAAAAAGCAAATGCTGTAAAAAGTACAGTGTTCATTCCAACAGCAGGAAAAAGTGAAACATATACCAAGCTACTCTTTGATACGAGGAAAATTATTATGGATTATGGCATATTAGTATCCAAACCAAGGAATTCATCCTATATTCAGGCATTAGCAGACTTCAGCTAGCTCCCAGGATTTTCTTACTAGGCATTCCATTAAGAGCTCGTGTAACCACAGTGAAATGGATGTTTGAAAACAGGAGCTGCTAAACTTCGTGGGCATGTTTGCAAACTGGAGAAGCCGTTGTGGGCACAACATACGGAAATGTGATATGCTGTGTCTGGCATATTGCCTGTTAGGAACTGCCTAATTCTCACACACATTTTGTTCCAAAGGCAGAACCTTAAAGAAATATTGCAAATGTTTGGAATGCTGTGAAATGATTAAAAGGTCATGATTTTTCACACAGATACTGTACCATACCCTGTTCTGCATCTAATGTTCTCGAAAGTCTCCAGTAATAATTGTTAATTCTCCTTATTGATGATTTTATCGTTTTATTTTTATATTTTTGCACACAGTCTTGAGGTTTTGTTTAACATTCAAGCGGTGTATAAATTTTATGAAATAACTACATAAAGTAAGAAACAAACCCTGGAACAATAAATTTAAATGAACAAAACTGCAGAGCCAGCAGTTAAAACAACTGATAAAATAATGTAAAATAACAATAAATAAATAAATAAAAAATCAACAATAAACCCATGATAGGATGGATTTTGACTGGTGCATCAAAGATGGCAGACAAAACACACAGCAAACTTGCTGACAGAGAGGATTCCACAGTCTGGGTCTAACCACAGACCACCTGTTTGACCTCTGAAGGTACGGAGTGTAGTCAGAGAAAGGCCTTTGGTGAAGATGATGAATGTTTGTTCAACTTCAAAAGTAAATCTCTTCTGTCCAGTGGGGCTTATTCCCTACTTAAGCGTCCCCAGGAATTTTTCATACTGAGTAGTGACGTCTACTATGCAGAGAGAAAGTGTATGTATGGGTAGATCCTCAATTTCATAATGCATACAAGTACTGCCAAAACAAACTCTAAGGTCAATGGGCGCTTTCAAGAACCAATAAATAGCAAGTCCAAGTTACACTTTTCTAGCCTTCGGAATCACAGAATACCATCGCAAAGAAGAATTTTCAAATAACCAATCAAACATAGTTGAGACATATGGCTTCAAAGACGGTAGCTTTCCTTTCAATTTAGCACACAAATGGTTTTCATTAAGACGATCCCCTCTCTAGCGTTTTGGTTTCCATCTTTGTTTACTGTTGTAAGACTTATCACTTAAACTTTCTGGAAGGTATATGTCTGTGCTTATATACATGCCACACACATGTGGTTGTTGCCCTGAGCATTTCCAATCTATCCCAATGTCTGTCTAGCTAGTTTTCATTTAGTTACTTTCACCTTTTTAGTTTGTTGACAGGAAAAGGAGATAAGAGAGGCAAGCTTAGCTGGAGGTCTGGACTGACAGAGACGCTCTCAGCAGGCTGTATATAAAATTAATACTGTAGGCTTCTCAAGCATTCCCATCTGCATTCTCAAGAGGATTGTTTTTTCTTGACAAACAACAGAGGTCTACAGGGACTTCCTGCCCGAACTATAAAGGGCAGCAAACCAGTTTTAAATTGACTCTCTTCCAGCCTGGAGTTATGTACTTGTTAGGCTGCAAATTTCACAAGACTAAATTCTTGTTACTGGGAATCTATCTATCTATGTCAATAGATCCACGTATCTATCTAACACTAAGAGGACAGAAAACAAGAGACAGAAAATAAATAACAGGCTCTTGTGGAAAAAAAATGTGAATTGTGAAAGTATAATTCTTTTAATCTTAGGCTTTGCAGAAGAGAATCGGAAGGATTACAGGCAAGCTGATAGAGGGTGACATTTGCTTCAGGGGGAAAGGGAAGCCCTTAATGAAATCCATAAGCCTGGCTTCCAGTGCTTTTAGGAAAACCATGCCCTTCCCCAGCCGTCTAAAGCCAGTATCTAAAGAGGGTATCATAAACGATTTGTGGGCTGGGGACTCTTGTCAATAAAGCACTGGCTTTAAATGACTTTAAAACGTTATATGAAATGAGAACACAGTTAAGCAGCAAGCTAAGAACCATATTTTTCTGTTCACATGAAATAATAAATGGCAGCTGAATCCCCCCTCCACATTGCATGGGGACGTGGCCAAAGATAGTTGCTGAAACATGGTGTCCTCTTTCAAAGTCAACAAGCTACTGAAGCAAGAACCTCTGTGTTTAAGAATTCACCCTATGAACTTCAAACAGAATTCAGAAGGTTGAAGAATATACTTGTTAAAGCAGCTGGTAGATCAGACTGGATGCATATGATAACAGCGAGCAAATGCTGGAATCCCCACTGCAATGGGGCATAAAGCGAGGCCATTGAGAATGGCAGCCCCTCTCGGCCTATTCCTTTTAAACTAGACTTTTGCTATAAATGCAGGGCTTCGTTTTGAAATAAATCACATCACCAAGCTATGACTCTGTACATAGGAAGCCCTTGGATTTTCAGTGGGGCTCAACCTGGGCACTCTTCTCACATTACCTTAGTAACCCTGCACTTTTCCACACCACCTTCAAGGTCAGAAGCTTCTGAAGAAGTCCACAGTATCATTCATCCCATGCCATCGCTGCCCAGCTTCCTAGAACTGGGTGACTTTAGCATTAGGGGAAGACACTGTCTGCATGAAAAGTATGTGCTCTGCCTCTGTGCTAAGGCCCCTTCTGAAAATCAAGTTATTCCATGTATCTCCTGCACAGTATCTCTTTGGGATTTGCGGACTTTAAAAAACCCAACACCGAGACAAGACCAATGATTACCCGAAAGGCTAGATTACAAATTAGTGACTGTGCATTGCCCTTTGCCAAGAATATATAATCTGCCCAGGCCCTTCTGACTGAAGACTTGACGAAAACAAGTTGGAGATGGCTGGTGGTGAGAAGATATCATTCGTTTTCTGATAAAGTGAAGACATGGAAAAATTTCCAGGTCACATGCATACCGCATATTTGGGCTTTCCCAAAAGAATCTTGGGAACTGTGGTTTGTTCAGGGTAATGGGAACTTTAGCTCTGTGAGGCGTAGACGACAGTTCTCATGTTTTCTTAGGGGAAACCATGTGCTATAAATATAAGGGGCGGATGTGACTTCACTCTCACAGCAGGCCCTACCACATAAAGTTGTTGCAAAGAGAAAAAAAAGGAGTGGAACCATGTTCTCTGGGCTCTTTTGAGATAGGAATATAAAGATATAATTAACACACCTGTTCTTTTTTACAGCACTTTGTAAGCAATTTTAGAACACCACTTGAAATGGCCAAATATCCTATTTTTCCCTCAGAAAAATCTCTAGATTAGTTTTATTGTTTTCTAACTCCCACAGCATGATCAACATGCTATGAAGAAAAGAAGACCATTGAAAGAGGATGATGGCATACTATTAATGTTTCACAGAAGGTTCAACCAATAAAAAATTGGGAGTCCACATAGTTTGAACTACACAGTTTTACAGGGGAATAATCTGGAAAAAAATGAACTCCTCATTAACTTTATAATACCCTAGAATATTGGACTAACAACATTACAGAATGGTAAACTAACAAGTTGCACATATAAAAAACCCACACAATTATGATAATGCATACTATTGTACAAAAATCCTGCCTCCTAGACTGAAGAAGGCTTCTAAAAAGTCCACTCCGGTTAATCAATTGTGAACACTTTCAGAATAATAAATTGTCACCACCATGTTGTGTTTTTTTAAAATAATGTTGCTGGCTAATTGCAATTAAAAAAGAAAAAAGAAATGTGAATGCTATTAAGTCTCATAGTAATTTTAATAGGGGTGTTATATTTTTTAAGATATGCCCCTAAAGAAGGGCTGTGCTTTTTGTATTTCAATAAACCTTTTTACATCTTTAACATTCTGCTTTGCATTAGAAAACAGAGGCCAGTAGTTAAATGCTGTGGGCACATTAATTGTGCTTTTTTGGCGACAAAAGTAAGAAACGAAACCTTAAGTGACCTTAACTCATCTATGTAGTTCTACCTTCCCTTACTATTATTTGTTTATCCAAGTCTCATGTATTTAATATGTCTGCTCTGGTTTTATACGACCTGTAAATTGTGGGGTGGGGGTGGGAAGCCTCTAATTGAACCAAGCATATTACTGTGGCATGCTGTTCCTGTACAACTCATACTAACCTATAGCAAATTCATAGATTTTTCTAAGACTACATGTACGTTCTTCCACATTATGCAAAATTGTTCTGGTATGTGGTTTCTCAGGACTGAATTTGAGACATGCACCATGAAATTAGTCTGGGACAATAAGGTTACTGAGTGATTAGTACATGGGTATTGTAGTTTTGACCTTTCTGGAATATACTTTGTCAAAGCTATACTTTTCTGGACCCATCTGGTGATATTAAAACTCAGTAAACCTGGGATAAGATTGCAGGTGGCAGTGAACCCAGCTACTCCACTTCGTAATTTTGTTCCAGGTTTGTCTGTTTATTTGTTTACTTAGCCTCTCAGATCCATCTTTTTGGTGTTGGGTCACTCCAGAGCTGATTCCATGAAAACACCAAAAAGTACTTCTCATGAACAAGCCTTCACTGGAATACAGCTTCAGAGTGACAGCGTGGTACAGCAGTTAAGACTGCAATGTCGGATAAGGATTGAGGAAACCCTCAGCAGTGAAGCTCACCAGGTGACCTGTCACCATCTCTCAGCCTGACTTGCCTACAGGGTTTTGTGAGGATAAAAAGGGGGAGAAGCACCAAAAGCCACATACAGCAAATAAACTTTGCCTAGGAACCAAAGAACTATTCGAAGTTTCTGCATGCCCAAGGGAGCTTGTGTTCCCACCCCCCAAAACTGCATCCTTGTGTGGCACAGTGGAAGCTTTTAAAACTCACAAGACTTTCAAGAGCAGTTGATACAGGCTCAGAATCCAGGGATGAAGGGAGCAAATGACTTTTGGCAGCATTTTCTCCTCTCCACTGCCATGTCCCACCCCTCAGTGGGGTTAATATTTGTACTTCTCACCTCTACTGTAATGATTAGGGTGCTGCAGTAGGACCAAGGAGATCAGGGTTCAAATGCAAGCTCTGTTGCAACTTTGGACTGCTCATTGTGAAAGTCTGGAAGCTAACACGGTAGCTGGAGGTGGAGGGAGAAGGCTATGGAATGGGACAAAAAGGATTTCCAGGAAAGGAAACCGTCTCTGCCTATGATCCATCCCACTGTCATTTACCCTAGACCATGGGTAGGCAAACTAAGGCCTGGGGGCTGGATCCGGCCTAATCGCTTTCTAAATGTGGCCTGTGGATGGTCAGGGAATCAGAGTGTTTTTACACGAGTAGAATATGTCCTTTTATTTAAACTGCATCTCTGGGTTATTTGTGGGGCATAGGAATTCGTTCATTTCCCCCCCAAAATATAGTCCGGCCCCCCACAAGGTCTGAGGGACAGTGGACCGGCCCCCTGCTGAAAAAGTTTGCTGACCCCTGCCCTATACCCAGCGGCGTAGCGTGGGTTGTCAGCACCCGGGGCAAGGCAAGTAATTTGCGCCCCCTAACCCCTAACCTGCTGCCGCTGCCAGCTTCTTCTTGCTGCTGCCTGGGCTGGTCTGGTGTGGTTCTCTCCCGCGCTCAGCGCTGCGCTGGGCGGCCGCTGCACTGTCCCTCCCCCAGATAGTCCCTCGCTCTCTCTCTGCACCGCACGCCTGGCACCCACCCCCCTCCACAGTGGGCGGCGACCCAGCGGCTCGGATCGGATTCGCACAGCCAGCACTGCAGTGAGAGAGAGTGAGTGAACCAAGTAGGGGCAGAGAGCTGCGAGTGCGAGCGCGCGCCCCCCCAGATGTTGTGCCCGGTGCGGCCGGCCCCCCCTGCACCCCCCCACGCTACGCCACTGCCTAGACCTTACATTCACACAATTCTCTTCTGCTTTTAATCCACAGAAGGGACATGTTAGAGTGCATCAAGGAGGCAGAATCAAGCCCCCACTTTTTAAAGGCTGACCTCCAAGACAACCTGGAACCAAATACCCTCAGGCTTGGGTACCTAAAGCAGTTCCTTCAATACTTGTTCTCAGGCTGGGATCTGAGGAAACGGGCAACTAGTTTCACACGAGGGAGTGGGCTTTCAAACAGCAGCTTTCCCCCTCAAGCCGTTGGGCATCATGAAGGAGTGTATGAGGATCTGCTGTTTAAAGAAAAGTCAAGAATTCCAATGCACATTCCCAGGACCTTCTAAATTCCAGCCTAATTATCTCCAAGTAACTCAGTATTTTCAGGCTTAAATTTTTATGACTGTTCCAGTGAGATGCCTCCCACCAGCCGTCTGCATCATGTACTTCAGCATTCACTTTTCTGTAAATGGTGGCACTTAGTTGGCAAAAACGAAGAGTTGCGCATACAACAATCATTGCTGCCAAGAACACAAAATGCATATATATGGAAAACTTAGTCCTCATAAATGCGAGGTTTTAGTTATTCCTCATCAATGTGGCATTATAAATCACATGGATGAGCAACTAAAATGTCTCAAGAAAAGCACAACCCATTTGTTAGTCTGGTGCCTGACTTGTTCTTTGAAACAGACGTAAACAAGAAGGTTCAAGGAGAGTCTTCATTTCAGACAGGAACTGGCAAATCCATTCTTATTTTAAAAATGATGAATAACGTACTTCCAACTAGTGTTCAAGGAATGGTATGTGCTCAATCTAAACTGTATGTTTCCTTTTATTTCCTTGCAACTGTAAGCAGTCCAGTCCTCATTCCCCTGAAAGTGTCGAGATAATGTCTTTTGAGAGAAGGTGAGTGGCATATAATTCTCTAAAGACATCATCTCAACACTTTCAGGGGAATGGGGACTGCACGCTTACAGTTGCAAGGAAATAAAAGGAAACATGCAGTTTAGACTGAGTACATAGTTTTGATTGAACAACCATAAAGTACGCAAGTCCATGCCATCTATTTCCCTCAGGTTAGGCAAGGCCCAGAAAAATAGCTGGCGAATCTTTTGAATTGGGAATGAACTCCCTCAGTCACTGTCACCTCTCCCAGTTCACCTGGAAGTAACAAAGTACAACAGACTCATCCTTCTTGAGTCTACAAGGCAACTTCCACAGGCCAATAAATTACCATTAAGCAAAACTGGGTGGTGAACAATTGCTAAGCGTTGTACAAACAGTAAATGACAAAATGCAGGGTCCTCAGATGGAAAGTTGTAACTAGCTGTCTATATTAAGCCCAGATATCAGCTACGATATCTGGGTTTCAGAGAAGAAAAAGTTATTATATATGATCTTCTGGAATCCAGGGAAATGAATTTAGCACTAAAAAGGACTTATTAGGATGGGCTGCGTGCTTAAGAGTAAGTCCCAAGAACCAATTTAATCAAAATAAAAGCCATACAATTCAGAGATTTATAGCAAAAAAACTTCTACTGTACATCATTGCCGCATACCCTGGCATTAGAATAAGACGATACATAAAGAACAGTTTCCTATTTAGAGGAGCTCAAAGGAGATAATGGCAACATGGGAAGGAAGAGAGAAGAAAAGGTCATGGCCCACAAATATTGTCAGGAGATACAATTAAGCATAATATTTCCCATTAGGAATGAGACTTTACTGAATAACTAGCTTGAGCTGGGAATTGAATGGTGAGAGATGAGAGTGCTTCTAGCTGCTGAGAACTTGGCTGGGGGCAGGAGAGACCTTAAAACATCTCTCAGAAATCATAAAATGGTGTTTGTGTGGGGATCAGTTTTCAGAGACTTTCAGGTCTAAGCAAAGTCACTGTACTTGCTAATCCATAATACAAAAAAGGATTTTTATTCCTTTTTAATAAAAAGCTTAATTAAAGCCTTGGACTATGGGGTTGGCGAGATCTGCTAAACAGTTATTATGCCGACGTGCCCGGAGAGCCTTTCGAAACAGTTGTTATTTTGGCATCCCTAGAAGGAAGACGTCGTTTCTCACCCTTGCTTTTTATGTTTTGTTTGTCTAAAAGTTGAGCAACAATGTGCAAACAGCATTGTTACAGCATACCAGACTTCTTGTCTAATCCCTAACAATGAAAGTGTAAGATGCTCTTAAACATTTGAACTCTTGGTTCAGGAAGGTGACTAAAATCCTAAGCCTTTGTCTAAGCGGCTCTGATATCTAAATAAAATTCCCACTGTTGCTAACACCAGCACAGGGCCACCAGAGGTGACAATGGGTGGAAGCAGCCGTATATCAAAAGTCAGTTAAACTTCTCAAAGTGCACTCTTTGCAATGCACTCTTCCCAGCGACACACAGGTGAATATATACATGTACATTTGCAACTCTATCCCCACACTGAGCACCAGCACCTGACCAAACCCTTCTTTACCAGCTGCTGCCTCATGTATTAACTGTAAAATAGCCTAAGCTTCTGAAACACAGGTTACTTATTGTTTCATTAAATTGATGATGCTTGTCTTGCATCCATAATCTGTGCACGCACACGAGATTAAAGATGTTTCCCCTTCCGTTGAGATATTGAATTTCTGGAGACCAAAGAATTCTGGAAAGCTCTAGTTCAGGCTGATGCATAAGCACATAAATAATAAAAAAAATCAAAGAGAAAGGCACCCCAACGAATTGAAAGTCCAACATTTTCTCAATAAGGGGAGGTTGTGACAAAATAGTGACAGTGGTGTTTACCAGGCAGAGATATGGGAGCATAGAGACAGATGGGAAATGTAACAAATTTCTCCCTTTCTCACTCGACGCCAGCTTGTTGCTTACAACTCTGGGTGGGTAGTGACTAGTTTTCACTGGATGGTTATTGTGAAGGTGGAGTGGATTAGAATACCTGGCTAGTTAACTGCTGACAAGTCCCAGGGTCATATGAAATGCTCCTTTCATATCCCCCCTGTCTCTGCATTGACTACAGGCAGTTACTATTAGCAGGGACAGTCGAATATATTTTGCTGCTTGAGGCAAAGACAAAATGGTGGCCCACTTTCTACATATGGGACTCAACTGGACTGGTAGCTGCATATAACCTCATCACTGGTAACAAAACAGCATCCACCTGAAACAACAGGCTGTCAATGGGTGTGCAAGGGGGCCTTGGGAACAGTGCGTGCCTGCAGTTGTCTTGCACCCACCAGCACCGGCTGCTTGAGTGGACTGGCTCCCCGTTCCTAATGGCAGAGCTGGCTCAAGCATCTCCAGATGCTGATCTCTGGTTTGTAAGAGGCTTCCCCATTTTGTTTTGCTTGTTAAACTCTTTCGCCCCCACTCCCACGAAACGGAGGGGAAACATCTGTAATTAAAGAAATGCTTAGCAATCTCTCCAGAATCATGTTTATAAATAAACAAAACAGCACATGAACATAAAACGTTCTTCTTCTTCCGACATGCAGCTCGAAAGCTACATTCAGGATAACATGAAAAAAGAAATGGTGGAGATCCAGCAGAATGCAGTGCAGAACCAGACGGCGGTCATGATTGAAATAGGCACAAATCTGCTAAATCAAACCGCTGAACAGACCCGCAAATTAACAGATGTTGAAGCACATGTAAGTACCAGTCGTTCAAGCTGAAGCTAACTCTGAACTCAAAGGACTTGTGTGCCCTATATTGTATGCTTCAAGTCAGGCTGGGCAATATTTAGTTTCCAACATTGTGATGTATCACAATGTCTGAACTAAGGATAGAACTATGTAGAGACATTGGCTGGCTTCATGTTTTTTTCTAACATTATGATTTTTGCAAGGCAAACAAACTTCATGATTCACGATATATTGCCAGGTCAAAAATTATGAAACCAATATCAGGATATGGATTTCAAACCAGTTTGGGACAATATTATCGCCCAGCCCTACTAATCAGTCAATTAAAACTTACACTAGTAGACTGCACAGTATAAATCATAGCTCCAACGCTTGACAGCACCACAAAAAACCTGATCTTAGTCACAAATCTTTGTGGATCTTTGTGTTTTTCACATAATAACAAAGCAACCAACCAATCATAGAACACATTTCAGGACACAGGGGAGACCTACGAATTGTTGAGGGGATCTCTTATATAAATTATGAGGATCCATAAGGATCTATGGTTCTGTGAGGGGAAACTGGTCTCCTTGCAGCTCCCAGCACCTAGAATTCTTTGAGGGAAGCTATGACTGTTTAACATGGTATGATACTGCTTTAAAAGTATACTGCAGATGGAGGCTTGCTGTTTACATAGCACTCTAATTTGCAAAGTGTTTCAAGAAGGTTAATGTTATTCCTATTCACCAGCACAGTGGGACATGGTGGCGCTGTGGGTTAAACCACAGAGCCTAGGACTTGCCAATCAGAAGGTCGGCGGTTAGAATCCCCGTGACGGGGGGAGCTCCCATTGTTCGGTCCCAGCTCCTGCCAACCTAGCAGTTTGAAAGCACGTCAAAGTGCAAGTAGATAAATAGGTACCACTCCGGTGGGAAGGTAAATGGCGTTTCTGTGTGCTGCTCTGGTTTGCCGGAAGCGGCTTAGTCATGCTGGCCACATGACCCGGAAGCTCTATGCCGGCTCCCTCGGCCAATAAAGCGAGATGAGCACCGCAACCCCAGAGTCAGTCACGACTGGACCTAATGGTCAGGGGTCCCTTTCCCTTTTACCTTTATGACTGTTTAACATAGTATGATACTGCTTTAAAAGTATACTGCAGATGGAGGCTCTAATTTGCACTCTAATTTGCAAAGTGTTTCAAGAAGGTTACTGTTATTCCTATTCACCAGCACAGTGGTCAAAGTAATGTTTGAAACCGAGAAGTTCTGATCCGAACTAGCATCAAAATTCAGAGCTGAGTCCAATTTGCAGCACTCAGGCTGCAAAAACTTGGAGTGACCTAAGTTATGCACCCCTTATGCAAGGCATAGTCTGCAATGGAACTTGGATAAGCCTGAGCATTTCAATGGTTATAATTTAGTTGCAGGATAAATCAAAAGACTGAACTGAGTGGGAGAAAGGTTAGGGAGTAACAGGAAGCTACAAAGAAAAATAAATTGTCACATTTTTTTCAAGTTGTTGTTCAAGTCCCAAATCAATTGTGGGGAACAGAGACATTCCCATACTCAGATTGGAACAACAACAAAAATTGCTCTTCATTTTAGATTTCAAGTCAGATCTCATCCAAAAATATGGTTATTATGGAGTAACCGCAAACTATTATATTCACAGAAAAAACAATATAGATGTTTTGAAATAATAAATTCATTTCAGAACTCCTTACATTCTTAGAATAAGCTAAGTAAGCTTTTCGAGTGGAGCTTGTGTATAGTTACAGTTATTTTCCAGACTTTTAAACTAAAGTGAAGGGTGGTTGGGGAGGAAAACCTAGCGTTAGCACATAGCGATTGGTTTGTATAAAAACCAAAAGCATTCTATACAGGACCGAAAACAAGGTGACAAAATTCTGGAATGCACCATTTCATATTGACGGTGTGGGGTTATATTTTCAAAAGCTCTTCCAATGTAGTAGTTCACCATATGTGGTAAACTAAGTACACCAGGGAAAGGGTTCTGCCACACGATGACTCTCAGATCACTACCATAGTTGCACTGTAATGTTGCTTCCTATAAAGACGGAAACACTTAAATCTCTACTTCAGAACAATACTAAATCATCCCCGCTTTATTCCATTTTTCATGTCCAAAGTGGTCCAAGGTCAAAAGTGTGAGTAGCAGAGTCAATGAAACATTTGTTTGATTGCTTCCGAAAAGTCATGTGAATCAGTTTCAAACCATGTGTAATGTCATACTACTGCAAACTTATATGTCTGAAGAATGCTTTTATAGTCAGCATTAGCTTAGAAGCTGAATATTTGTGCTGGTGACTGGGTTTGTACTGGGTTTAATTAACAATGTAAGGGGATTAAATAAAGAACTACTCTTTCAAAGACGCTAGTTCTGGCCACAGTGATCCACGCTCTGGTTATCTCCCAAATGGGTTACTACAATGTGTTATTTGTGGAGCTGCTCTTGAAGACAGTTCTCAGAAGCTTCAGGAGCCTCAGTTAGCATAGACTGCCGGAATATTGACTAGTGCGGCCTAATTTACCCATTTCACAGCAGTTTTAACAGAACTGGCTGTCAGTTTATTTCGGGGCCCAATTCAAGGAGTTGGTTCCTACTTTAAAATTCAAAATGGTATGGGGCCCAAATTTCAGGAGCGTGTGTGTGTGTGTTTCATTTCAACCTGTTGCTGCTCTTTAAGAGGGACAAATATTATTATTTAAGAGGGACAAATATTATTACTAAGGAAGAGGGTTTCCTTGGCAGTGTATCCTCAGTGATGGAATGTCCTTGCAAGAAGATCACTGGCACCAACATGGCTTTAATTTAGGTACCAGGCAAAACCATTTTGATTTTCTGAGACATTTTAATAGACTTTAGTGAATTAATTGTGCAAGTTTTGGTACGTTTTGAAGTTTCATCTTCTCTTTTCTTAATATTTTGTGTTGTCTGTTACCTTGGAACTTGATATGATAAAGGGCATTGTGTGTGTATGTGTGTGTGTAATATCTTCTAATTAATGAATGAATTCCTCTGCAACATTTTGGAAATACCCTTAAGTGTGAAAACATGTCCTCAATGACCATTCAACATGAAGGATGTGAGTAATAAATTCCTCCTGCCAACTGAAGCCAAATTCTGATGAATTAAAAGAGTTATTTTAAAACACAATGAGGAGCATGCAGCAGAATGGAATGCTAAGCAACAGTCCATGTGACAATTTTGCTGCCTCATTCTTAAAAACAGATGTTGTTCTTGAGACTTCAAGAATAAGCAGCGGATATCATACTGACCTGGAACCATGGAAGGATTAATAAAATAAGAAAAACAAACCCTATCTGCAGGTACACCCACAGTGACACAGAAGTGACTCCAGTCAGTGTGGCAACTTAGAAAATCACCACCACATCCACAAAATGGCTGTCACATCCAGGAGGCTACAACTGTGGATGCCTTTGGTCATTCATAAAACTGGGAACAGCTCAGGTCACGACACACAAGACTGATACGGCCCACATATATTGCAACTTGTCTTCTGCAAACATAGACATAAGTAAATGTCACTTACATTTTATCAAACCTTCAAGAGGTTTTAGCTTTCCTTTCATTCAGGTAAATAGTGATGATAGTCTAGGTATTTTAGGACGGGATTAATTTGAAAATTATTCTGAATTATCTCAAATATGATCCAAAATTGCATTTCTCAAAATGTAGGTACTGAATCAGACAACAAGGCTTGAGCTTCAGCTTCAGGCGCATTCAATTTCAACTATCAAACTAGAAAGGCAGATTTCAGATCAGACCAGCGAGATAGGAAAACTGCAAGAAAAAAACAGGTAATAACTCTTCCTATCTGGTAATGTATTATTGTTCTCAAATGTGCTTTATTCCCAGCAGGGAAATCTATAATGAGATGATGAATTGAAATGACCTCAGGATATTTCAAATGAGCATCAAGTCTTTTGTAACAATGAACAGAAATGGAGATGACTTTTTTAACACCAGGAAATATTATTTGTATGCATGGAATTTGAAATGTGCCAGAAGTTATGGGGCCACATTCTTCATTCCCAAGACCATGTGTGCAATATATAGAATTCAACTGACATGCACATAGGTCCTGTTAAAAAAATGAAAATAACCATCATTTAAAATCTAAGTTCTCTCCTGCTTGCAAAATAACCATCATTTAAAATCTAAGTTCTCTCCTGCTTGCAAAAGCTCTGTAGCTTTTAGTCTTCACCCTCACTAAAGTCCCCACTTTTCCTCCTACCTACAGATAAGCAGAGACTACAAATAACAAAAACTGATATGCGATTTGGAAAAGGAGAATAGCTCCGCAGATTAGTCATTTCAGCAATACTGTAAAGATGGCCTTCATCAATCTTGTGCCATCAATATATTTTGGACCACAAGCCCCATCACCCCTAGCTTTCCATTGTTGTGCTGGCTGAAGTGATGGGAGTTGCAGTCTAAAAAAAATGCCGGGGGGCCAGGTGGGTAATGGGAGCTGTAAGAGAATAATAAGCAATCAATGGATGCCAACCTAGCTTACATGTGTAATTCCTTTGAACTTGAGGAATGACTATCAGGTCTTGAGCTCATTAAAGGCATCCCATTGCCTTGAGAGCCTCAAGGTCCATAAATAGCAACACCCTAGTGGTCCCAGGCCCTAAGGAAGTTAAATTGGCTTCAATCAGAGCCAGGGCCTTTTCAGCTCTGGCTCCGGCCTGGTGGAACGCTCTGTCTCATGAGACCAGGGCCCTGCAGGATCTGATTTCTTTCCGCAGGGCCTGTAAGACAGAGTTGTTCCGCCTGGCCTTTGGCTTGGAGCCAATTTGATTCCCTCCCCCTCTTTCTTTTTTTCTTTTCCTTTCTCCTCCTGCGATGAGGCTACATATTAATATTTTAATGTTTCAATATTTTAATGTTGTATTTTAATTTTGTTTTTAAGTCGTATTCATTCAACTTGTTTTTATTATTGCTTGTTAGCCGCCCTGAGCCCGGCCTTGGCTGGGGAGGGCGGGGTATAAATAATAATAATAATAATAATAATAATAATAATAATAATAATTTCCCACTCAGAAGGCAGCATTATTTATTTATTTAGCAAAAAGTGCCAAGTTGTGTCTCACCCACTTGATCATACCAAGGAATATAATGAGAATGAGTTCCTGCCTATCAGATGACAAAACAATCCATCTCTTGTCTGTGTGTCTTTCGCTAGAGCCATATTCTAAACCTACCTGGTGTGACAAGATGGTGGATTTGAAATATCCTTTATTTACCATTTCCCCCACCAAAAGGGGGGAAACTCACCCTTCATTCCTAATGAGAAAGCTTATTTGATTGCCAGGCAAAATCTGGCTGTCCAGCTACCACAAAATTGTGGATGCCGCAAAAATGTTACTGTGATTTTCAAACCACCAAAGAGATAAGTATTTGATTCCACTCTTGGCTTCCTTTTGTATTAATTGAGAGCCAGACATGATCCCTGCTTGCATCCATTCTCAGCATACAACATCAAAGGACTTGGAGGCTCTTTTTGTTTACCCAGAACATTTTGAATGACAGCTGGCCAACAGAACTGTTAACATTTCTTGCTGAGCTGGGATCACATTAGGCTAGCTGGAGAAAAGAGGGGGAACTGTGAACTTTGCTTACTGCATAAGCCTCATGCGTGATCTGCAGTTGGCTAGTCTCACATGGAAGAGAAATCAACCTTACTGTTCTCCAAACTGGATTGTAATCTGCTACCGACACAATTTTTCAATGGTAAATGCATAATCAGCCCATCTGTTCGGCTTAACAGTCCTCACAGGGAGAAGCTGATGTGTCAACAGCTATATTACAGAGAAAGGGGAATTGTTTTCTGAAATGAAGATGAAATATGTTTCGAATCATAGGGTTGCCATCCTGTGCTTCTAACAGTACAATGTGGGGTTGAATGTAAAATGAGCCAAGCTGTATGATTCAGCTGAAGTCCTATGCTGAAAGGACTTTTCATTTCTGGTAAACATGAGTGCTGAAGGGAAAGGGCATGTTTTCATATTTGTCTTCACTCCCTTGCTATATTTGTGCATGCTCCTGCAAGGTTTGTTTTATGCAAACAAGATACTTTACTCAAGGGGAGCAAAGAAAATATGGGTTCACTATTACAATGTGATTTATTGCGGCAAGTGCACGGATAGCACTTGAACACACTTGTCCTTCGCTACATGCAGAAAAAGCAGCAAATATTGCTAGAACAAGTATACTATGGGACCTGAGTTGTGAAAGATTTTCTCAGCATACATAGGAGAAGTGTAAAATGAAATCTGGTCTGCTGATCCAACACAGCTTCTAATGCACGCGATCGATGCTGAACAGCAGTTATTTTAATATGGTGTCTTCAGGGCAGGACATATACAGCAGGACTGCTTGATTTATGCATATACAGCAAAACCAAACATGGCATTGATTGCGGAATTCAGCATCGTGAGAATCTCAAATTTCATTCCCCCTGCCCAGTTCTAAAACCGTGTAGCGTCAATGTTCTGAAGATGCATTTGAAAGCAAGTTTGCAACGGCTGCTGGAATCTCAGCTGCCAGAGGGGCAGTTGAATCAGATTTGCTAGGCATTGGCTTTAGTGGCCTGCACAGATCCCGATTCTCTTTTACAGTATGCTGTCAGAATCGGAGTAAATAATGCAAAAGAGTGAAAGTTGCAGAATTAAGCAAAATTAAAAGCTGCAGAGTTGACCAAAATAAAAGGCTATTGTGTATATTGTACTGAATTCACATCATGCATTCATGTTGTAGAATTTAGATCATCAGAGCAAAGGAATATGTGCTTCTTCTAACACAGGGTTGCCCAAACTTAGGTTTCCAGCTGTTTGTGCACCACAATTCCCATCATCCCCAGCCATTGATCCTACTAGCTAGGGATGAAGGGAGTTGTAGTCCAAAACCAGCTGGATATCCAAGTTTGGGAAACCCTGTTCTGAAACATGGCACTGTGGGTCTCCTCCCACCACAAAACCCACTACAGTGGTACCTCGGGTTACATACGCTTCAGGTTACATACACTTCATGTTACAGACTCCGCTAACCCAGAAATAGTGCTTCAGGTTAAGAACTTTGCTTCAGGATGAGAACAGAAATCGTGCTCCAGTGGCACGGCGGCAGCAGGAGGCCCCATTAGCTAAAGTGGTGCTTCAGGTTAAGAACAGTTTCAGGTTAAGAAGGGACCTCCGGAACGAATTAAGTACTTAACCTGAGGTACCACTGTACTATTTGTAAGGAACAGATCAGGGAATTAGATACTACGTTCAAATAACCATGGTATAAGCTTGCAAAAGATTTTACTTTTTGTTCACCATTAGGAGCTGGGGAACAGGAGAGGCACTTGGGTGTCTCACCAGACTTCGTATGGCAAGTACTGTATTTTTTGCTCTATAAGACTCACTTTTCCCCTCCTAAAAAGTAAGGGGAAATTTGTGTGCGTCTTATGGAGCGAATGCAGGCTGCACATCTATCACAGAAGCCAGAACAGCAAGAGGGATTGCTGCTTTCACTGCGCAGCGATCCCTCTTGCTGTTCTGGCTTCTGAGATTCAGAATTTCCTCCTCCAAAAACTAGGTGCGTCTTGTGGTCTGGTGCGTCTTATAGAGCGAAAAATACGGTAACTTCTGACCAGAACCTACAGTGGAAACTTGTGGTTCCTTAGCTGGCTCAGTTTTGTCCCCCTCCCCCTTCACTTTAGCCACGTAAAAGTGCTAAACCAATAACAGTGTTTTCTTCCCCCTCTTATTTTTTTTAGCTTTCTGGAAAAAAAAGTTATTGATATAGAAGACAAGCATACGTCCCAGTTACAGTCGATTAGAGATGAGAAAGATAAGCTCCAGTCACTCGTGTCCAGACAGAACTCCACAATAGAAGAACTAGAAAAACAGCTGGCCACGGCCACAGCCAACAACTCGTTCCTGCAAAAACAGCAACACGATCTGAGGGAGACTGTGCAGAGCCTGTTCTCTATGATTTCTACACCAAACCGTAAGTGGAGTAGAAGACGCTAATTGCTGCAGTGAGAAACAATTTCCTTTTTGGTGAGCCTTCCCCCACCTCTGCAATGACCCTCAGATTATTTCCAAGTGTAAAGTATAATTATAACAGGTATGCGTAGGCTTACACCAGTTTGTTGCCCTTCCATGTGGGTAAGAAAGAAAGGAATGATGAGGGCCAAAGATACTCTGAGCCTGGCACCAGCGTGAGATCTGGTTAGCCCACTTCCCTGTGTGTGTGTCGAACCTCATACCATAGTAATTCTGAGAATGACAAGCCTGCGGGTCACCCACAAGGCCAAAGCCTCTGGCACCATGACAGTGTGACCACAGAGGACTAACTTCTGCCAAAGACAATTCTGGTTGCTCTCTAGTATCTGAATTAAATTAACCCTTTGAGGCGCCAGAGGCTGTCTTTTCCAGCTTGTGTGACACCAGCAATGAGGAGGACCCAGCTAACGCCAACTAAAGCCCTTCACAGTCCCCGTTTTGTGATTCTAGGGGGTTTCTCTGAGGTTGATTAGGTTTAGCTCCCACGCTTTACACAAAATCTCCCAAGCCGTATGCACAGAATTGAAAGTAACACGTTTAAAATGTGAGAGGGATGCTACTTGCTGTTAATTGTTAACGGCCTCAGAACTTGAGAAGATATGAACAAACTTTTACTCCATCATTAATTACCATGATTCTATATATTCAGTGCTATTTTTCTAGAAAAAGAGGTGCCAGAACTCATTCTTCTTCTCTTAGAATGGCAATGGTGCCCACCTGAGAGGTGCCAGAATTGAGTTCCAGCTGAAAAAAGCCGCAAGCAAACTCATTCCCCAAGTGTGGAGTTTATTTAATGTAGCCAAAACAGTACCATCCACACACATGAAGACAGTATTGGCATGCTTGATGAACTGCATATTTTGCAGAAGCACAAAAAAGAAGAAGAAAAATGGAATCACAGCAGCCCAATGGGGACTGAGCATACTGACTGGTTGTTGGAAGAAGGAAGAAAACTGGGGTGGGGGACGATGACTGAAATAAGGCATGGCTAGCTGAACTGCTGCATTCTTCACTGCACATATTTTATTGCAGGTCCATTTCTATTTACAAATACCGTATTTTTTGCTCTATAAGACACACTTTTTCCCTCCTAAAAAGTAAGGGGAAATGTGTGTGCGTCTTATGGAGCGAATGCAGGCTGTGCAGCTATCCCAGAAGCCAGAACAGCAAGAGGGATTGCTGCTTTCACTGCGCAGCGATCCCTTTTGCTGTTCTGGCTTCTGAGATTCAGAATATTTTTTTTCTTGTTTTCCTCCTCCAAAAACTAGGTGCGTCTTGTGGTCTGGTGCATCTTATAGAGCGAAAAATACGGTAGTTATAAATATAGTTACGCAAACATAATAAACACAGAACCAATTCAGAATGTTTTCTTCTTCTTCTTTAAGCAAAACCACCATGCCCTATACAGGACAATACAGTCCTCAAAGGCCTAAAGATAGCCTGTTAAGCATATTTCCAAAACTCTGCGTGTTTCTGCTGATGTTATCTCCTAAGTTAGTGCACAAACAAGTAAACAGGCTGTGTTAGCCTCAGCACCGATGTGGGAAAAAAATAAAATCCTGAACACTTGCCAGTGTCGGGGGGGGGGGCGCTTCTAAAAGTGTCAACTATCAGAGGAGTGTGGAAAAACAATTAAAAAGCTGGAAGCAACCTTGTACTTTAAGGAAACCAAATTTATGAAGCAGATCTAAAAGGTAAACAATCTGAAAGGCTTCAAACAAATGAGGCAGAGGAGAGAATAGTACATAGCTAAAGTCAGCTCTGTAGAAGTTCTCTTAGAGGTTTTTCAAATACAATGGCCATTTGAATGCATTTATATTATATGCTTAATATGTGCACTTGCTTTTCAGCATCCAATAATGCTCTGGAAACTGGAGGAGAACACATCAGTTTCAAGGACTGTGCTGAAGCATTCAAAGCAGGACTGACAACCAGTGGTGTCTACACATTAACAGTGCCAAACGCAGGAGACGCGAAAAAGGTAAAACATTCTCTTGATTAAATTTAGGCAGGACCAGATCCTCCTTCAATATTTCCCCCCCAATATCATTGTGTCAGTTTTAAGTACTTTTAAACTCACCATGAAACTCTGCTTTCCAATTTAGAAAAGGAAAATGCAACAACAGCAGTACAGTCTTATGAACGAGTGCTAAGAATGCTTTCCGTGTCCATCCTTATGTAGATCAAGAGTCTGGAGACTGTCCAGTTGCAAACTTTGTTGACCACTATGATGTATAGTTGTCCCCATCTAATTGTTCTTCAGTAGCTAGATTGATGGCCCCACCCCTTCTGCAAATTCACAACACAACCACATTCATACACTGAAGGAGGCCAAGAAGCTGAGGAACAAACAAATTAAGAAAACATGGGAAGGGGAAATACTCCCTCAATAGCTTTATGCAGCTCACCATTTCATAGTGAAACAAGAGTCTCGACAGGAGTGCCAGACATGTCAGCCGGAGAATCCCCCAGAGCATTCAGGAATCTGTCAGATACCAGCAGTCTTCAAAAGCAGACTAACTCACTGGGTCCCACATACTTGAAGATTTAGCCCAAACCTCACCAGAGAGTGGTCTGTCTGAGGGACTTCTGGCAGTACCCTCACTGCGAGAAGTGAAGTCACAGGGAACCAGACAAGAGGGCCTTCTCGGTAGTGGTGCCCACCCTGTGGAACACCTTCCCATCAGATTTCAAGGAGACAACTATACAACTTTTAGAAGACATCCAAAGGCATCAAACATAACGTTTGATGTTTTATTTTAATTTTTTATATATCTGTTGGAAGCTGCTTAGCGTGGCTGGGGCAACTGAGTCAGATGGTCAGGGTACAAATAATAAAATGATGATGGTGACAATGGATTCATAGTGAACACACACACAATCAACAGAGTATTTCCATTCTGCTCTGTGGCAAAGACCAGGTTGAGGGTATGACCAGTTACATGTATTGCACCACTGATGTATTGAAAAAGCCGCATAGCTATCGTGGAGGCCATGAAGTCCTGATATGACCCATCTGAAGCAGTTTTGGCATGGATATAGATGCCTCCCCCCACCCTCAACAACACTGTGAAAGGGTTCTCCAACCCCAACGCTGAACCTACCTCTGCCAGCTTGGTCAGGGAGATTGTAGAGCAGTTGGGTGGACAGTACACTAGAAACATCTGGTCCACATTGGCTCTCACTGCGTCAAACATAAACCACTTTTAGCACTGTAGTTTCAATATTCTGCACTTGGATATCTGCTCAGTTTTGTAAGTGACTTCAATAGCCTTCTCAGTATCTTACACGTCAGTCAACAGGCTTGTGGTGGAACATGTCAGCTCTACATATTTCAAGTAATCGTCAGGTTTCTGCATACCACTGTTTTACTATGTTTCTGTAAAGAGCTCTTTTTTAAAAGAGCAAAACAATACACCCACCCAAAATCAGGGTCATTGTTAGGCCAGTAATTAGGCAGTATGATTGATGATGCTATTTTTATTCCCAGACCTGCTACATAGAATACAATGATTATAGTGTTTAGACTTCATCATACTGACTCTTATTTGCAGAAGAAGTTTAATGGATTATCACAGCCTTAGGAGTGCAATCCATCAAACACTATTATTGCACTGCCTTCATTCATTTCAGTGCAGTTTACATGGAGCCACCTATAGCACCCCTTGGAAATTGAAGTTTTGCAGAAGCAGTCCTGGTGGGTATCACTGCATATGGAAGCTGCAGAATTGCTACCATTACATCAATAGAGAAAATATGGGTGACATTTTTGTAGGCTGGGATAGATGTCCAAATTATTATCTCAAACTGCCATTTATTTCAGAGGTTATTGATGTTATTTTACTTACTTTGTGAGCGGTGACACAGAATTGCCTTTCATTTGTTAGACTCTGGCTGTTTGTGTTTTGATCTTTTTCCTCTCGGCGTTTATTCTGTTTTGATCTTTTTCCTCTCGATGCTGACTCTAAATTCTCAAGAGACTTATAAACACTGCTGCACAATGTATTTTACTGGGCTTGTTTTCCCCCCTGCAAGCTTTCATTGGAAAGCACAGTGTAAAACTGACATGCTAAAAACTGACAAGGCAAAAAACCACTGTACTGTTGTTAGAAGTGATCTCATTTCTCCCCTATCTTAAGAAACAATAATCATTTAAGAGGGCCATATTATATTTACCTACTACATGCAACTGAAAAATAGCTTGAGGCAGGTTAGTGGGACCCCAAAGAAATATCACACCATCATGCCACACCACAAACAGCAGAAGTTTCAAAAACTCTTAGCTTGGTGCCAGGAAGGGCTGCTGTTTGAAAAGCACATAGCCAAAATCTCAATGAGCACGTGGTTGTTTAGAGTCTAACTTTGGCCTCCCGTTTCATAGAAATTCTATACATTCTGTTGCCAAAATGTTCTTTGTGCACTTCAATGATTTTGTGAATCCTATGGTTGTTTACTCTTTCAGTGCAACACCCATTTGGAAAACCCTTGCCCTTTTAAATAATAAATTACGCCTTTTAGTAGCCGAAACGTTCAAACCAATTCTGTTGAGGAAACTGAAGGGCCATAGTAAATAACCTCCTGAACTAGAACTAGTCATGCATTTTTTGAAGGGGATGCATTCCATCTACCATGATCTACCTAATCCAATCCTTAATTATATGGGCTTCTGTCCATCAATAATGCTCCTTAGTTTTCAGCTTTATGTAGGTCTCCCCCAGAGCAACAAAGAAAGGCCTTCAAAAACAAAATGAAAACAGAAGTGTTTTGGAAACCAAAATTGGCAGCAAAATACAGGATGTGATGGAAGGAGACTTTAGCTAACATTTTAACCATTTCAGGAATATGGTTTCATTGCAACACAATCTGCAGCCCTACAGATGCCAACTCCCATCAGCCTCAGCCAGCAAAGCTAATGGACAGGTAGGATAGGAATTGTAGTGCAGCAACAAGTTTCCTTTGCCTATCTGTTGGAGAGGCCTCTGTGAATTCATGAATCTCTAAGTTTCATGAAACCTCCGTATCAGACTAGATCAGGCATTGGCAAACTCGGCCCTCCAGATGTTTTGGGACTGCAACTCCCATCATCCCTAGCTAACAGGACCAGTGGTCTGGGATGATGGGAATTGTAGTCCCAAAACATCTGGAGGGCCAAGTTTGCCTATGCCTGGACTAGATGGTTAGCATAGGCAGCTTTAAGGGCAATAATGGAGACCAATAAGGAAAATAATGGCGGCAAGTTGTTGTTGTTGTTGTTTAGTCATTTAGTCATGTCCGACTCTTCGTGACCCCATGGACCAGAGCACGCCAGGCACTCCTGTCTTCCACTGCCTCCCGCAGTTTGGTCAAACTCATGCTGGTAGCTTCAAGAACACTGTCCAGCCATCTCGTCCTCTGTCATCCCCTTCTCCTTGTGCCCTCAATCTTTCCCAACATCAGGGTCTTTTCCAGGGAGTCGTCTCTTCTCATGAGGTGGCCAAAGTATTGCAGGCTTAGCTTCAGGATCTGTCCTTCCAGTGAGCACTCAGGGCTGATTTCCTTCAGAATGGAGAGGTTTGATCTTCTTGCAGTCCATGGGACTCTCAAGAGTCTCCTCCAACACCATAATTCAAAAGCATCAATTCTTCGGCGATCAGCTTTCTTTATGGTCCAGCTCTCACTTCCATACATCACTACTGGTTGCTTTCTACTTGCCAGTAATGGTGGCAAGTAGAAAGCAACAATTCCCCTTCAACTTTCAAATGAACGATTGATACGACAGGGACCGTTTATTTGTGTACAACTAGTGCAGGAGCACTTTGGACTTGTCCCCTGAATGCTCAGGGCAGTTTTTCTCCCTCCACAGCATCCTTGAGTTCATACTTGTTATCTATCTTGCTGGATTAAGGTAACAACGTTTGCATAGCAAGCAGCTCATTTTAGTTATAGAAGTTCACCGGGGATTCTCAGCCTAGCCTACCTCACAGGGTGGTTGTGCGGATTAAAGGATGAGGGGGAAGAACCATGTATGCGCCACCTTGAGCTCTTTGGAATAAAAGTTGGAGTAAAAGCTATTAATACAACAACATAACATAACATAACATAACATAACATAACATAACAAAAATGCTATGGAAATGAGCGAGTGTCTTCCCATTCCCTCCTCCCATTTACAGTAATGCTTTTTTTGCCAGAATTTCTATCAGATAGAATGAATCAAATGAAATGTGAGTAATTTCAATGTTTGTATGTACTGACAGACATACTGTGATATGGAGACCAGCGGAGGAGGTTGGACGATTATTCAGCGACGCTCAGACGGCAAAGTTGACTTTGACCGGACGTGGGCGGAGTACAAAGCGGTAAGGCAGAACTGCCATAATCTTGAACAATTTAACCTCTGAATAGCTTTGATTATAACTGAGGTCACCCACACAATTGGAGGTTATAAGATCTTTCATAGCTCTGGACCTAAGTTCCTTTTAACCAGAGAAGGCAGGAGGATGAAACTAGGGTCTTCTACAGGCAAACCATAGGCCCAGTAGCTAAGCTCTGGATGTTTAACATGAATGATAAAACTTAGATCTATGTAATAAGGCGTTTTCTTCGGGTGAAACTAGAGCAATCTTACCTGCCTTATGTTACTGCATGAGAGGCATCTGTGTTTTAGAAAGGAATTTTTAGCCCACACATTGGCTATTAACACGGTGATGTTTAATTTATGGTGGTTTTTTTTTTATAAAAAATTAATGGGTATTTCCACTGGCATTTTGCCCCACAGTTAGCAAGAACAAAGTTCCATTTTGTTTCCAGGCTCCTAAGTTTACGTTTGTTGAAATCTACTTCTCAAAAAAATAGAAAGACCAGAAATTTTGGCATTGCGAAGTGTTTTATGTGATGACAGATTGACAACCGTAACATTTTATTTTTTGGGATGGCGTGACCTGCTGACTTCAGAGTCAAACAAAACTAATACAGTTAAAATGTCCAATTTGGATTACAGGGATTTGGGAATCCTTCTGGGGAGTACTGGCTGGGCAATGAGTTAGTTTTCCAACTAACCAATCAGAAGCAGTATGTTCTTAGAATACAGTTGAAGGACTGGGAAGCAAATGAGGCATATTCCTTATATGAACATTTCTATCTTGCAAACGAAGAACTAAAATACAGGTAAGTCAACGCTGAAAAGAGCTAGACCATTGCTCGTCTATAAACTTAATTGCTACTTTGTTTTTTTAATGTTATAACCATTTGACAAGGAACCAATATATTGACTTGAAAGATAATGGGAAATGGTGAAATGCAATATGCAGCAGAATCCTATACACATGGCCTTTGCGATGGAATCCCTGTTGAGTTCAACAGAAATTACTCCCCGGTATGCATGTATAGGAATGCAACCCTAAGCTCCTTTTTATTGTTTTGAAGATAGAAGCATGCCTTTTCCCCGTGGGTGGAAAATCACCTGCCGAGAGGGCATTTTGAGTGGAGAAATGGGCAGGAGGAAGCGTCAAGCAATTCCTCCACTTAAACTCAAAGCCTTCCCAGTTTGGGAAAAAGATACACCTTGTTCGGGCATCAGTCACTGAGTATAGATCACCATAGGATCTTTTCCTTTGCCTTACTAGCTCTGACAGTCAATGAAGAATTCATGGTAATTTATTGTACATACGGTATGTACCATTCTATAATATTCACTGCACCTCAAAAGGAATGTTTTAGAGTTGGAAAAGGATCAGGAAAGGGGAACCAACATGATCAAGGTGCTAGGGAGACTCCTCTATGGGGAAAGGTTACAACATTTGGGCCTTTTTGTTTTAAGGAAAAAAGGAAGAGTAAAAGGGGACACGATAGATTATTAAGTGTGGAGAAATTGGAAAGCAAGAGGTTTTCCCTCTTATAAAACTAGAACCTGAGGTCATCCAATGGAGCTGAATAGTGGAAGAGCCAGGACAGACAAATGAAGTATAATTAAACGATGGAGTTTGCATCCATCATATGTAGTGATGGCCACCAACATGGATGCCTTTAAAAATGGATAATAATAATAATAATAATAATAATAATAATAATTTAATTTATATCCCTCCCATCTGACTGGGAGTCACTCTGGGCAGCTTACAACACATATAAAAACACAACAAAACATAAAACATTAAAAAACAAAATATCCTATATGAGCAACAAACAAACCAATAAATCAAAAGAAACTAAAAACAACAGTAACAATAAACAGTTTACAGTTATGCCCAAATTAAAGTCACTGCCAAGCCCAACTAAACATTTAACCAACACCAACCCAACAAAAACAAAACAGAGGAAGCAAAATTAGAACCGTTTAAAACATATTATCCAGTTGTCCCAACCCAAGAGCTGTCCCAGCAACAAATTTGTGGTGTAAGACTATGAGCGGTTACTAGATATGATGTCTATGTCCTCTGAATGCCAGTTGCTGGGCAGCACAATTGTGAAGAGTGCAGTTGTGCTTATGCGTTTGCATGTAGGCTTCCCCAGGGCATCTGACTGGGCACACTGAGAACAGGGTGCTGGGCTGGACAGACTAGAGTCTGCAGGGTTCTGCCTATATTAAAAAATGAAGATTTTCTAGCAAGGACATTAGTTTTGACTTAGGTACAGCCCACTTAAGCATTCTGTGGGTCACAGCAACATCCTAAAGAAAGCTTTCGTTTCTTCTTCATTAGGAAACAAAATATCATTCTGTCTCCAACATAAATATTTCCTCATCTGAAAATAGTTAGGCTCTACAGCAGGGATTTTTTTTTTTTAAATCAAGGCAATATAATCTTTATAAAGGTAACTTTTGCAAAATGGGTCATTGCCCTTGTCCATTCACATTATTAAAAAGCAATTTCTACAGAACAAGATAGCTGTCTGCAAATATAGGTCCTTTTGAAATGCAACCAAGTTTTTGAGCCACAAAACGTAGTGTTTGAAAACATGTTTCACTTACGAAACATAGATTATTTTGATAGTCAACCTGACGGTGAAGCTATATAGCAACACTACTTGAAAGCAGTTTCTGCTTATCATTTTGAAAACTTTGAAATGCAAAGCAGCTGAGAAAAAGCCAAAATAAACACTGATATAGATTAAATAAAATGGCAGCTGCTGAGGGAATCCAACATAAACTAGCAATGACAGTCTCCCCTAGCCATCCACTGAACATGATCCATGCACAGATACAGCCTGAAAAAGGCTGCATGTACCACCAAGAGTTACATGTCTAGTGATTTCAGCTGTGCACACTTTCCCCAAAAGAAAATATGTAAATCTCGACTGGGAGATGGAGAGACTTGATCCGGACCTCACTGACTGCTGTTGTTCAAGCATAAGTCATTATATGTTGTGCATAGATATTCTAAAGCTCGGTGTATTGTACCTATAAGCCATGATGATACAGGAAGCATTTGGTAGATCTGGCTTTGTCAGACATTAAATGTTTTCAAACGCACAGGTGGAATGGTTGCCAGAAAATGGCTTCAGATGTATGTCATCTGAATGCTCAGTGCTGAATCTGAGGCGATGTTCCCACGCTATATATCTGTAGCCATTTGCTGGCTTGCACTCACAGACATTTTCAAATGACAAGTAGGAAAATGTCAAAGCACATCACTTCATCAGGGCAATGAGACTGAATTATCAAACTTTGGATACATCCCCTTCAGGTTCTCTGTATTGCTCCTGAGAGAGACCAGACTCCTTTCTGAATAACGTCTTAAATGTTTATAAATGCTAGCATAAAAAATAGACTCTGTTATATAGCAATTGGCTTGAACAGTCTCTTTCTTTCAGAATCTTAAGAGAAGCAGTGGGGGGCTGAGAACGTTTGAAAAATAAGACCACTTCTTGCAGGAATATAAATTGTAAGCTTTCTAATTCCAACTTGGACCTGCAAGGAAGAATACTTTCTGTGCCAAAACACCAGAGCACTAGTGTTATATCCCAGCTGAAGAACTGTATGTTTCAACAGGTCAAGCAATTCCATCAATGTGAATTTGCATACAAAAATTATATTCTGAAGAGGAAAAAACACTTTCTTTGGCTTTAGATCGCGAGCAGAGAACCTGTGGTCCTTCCAGAAGGCTCTGGACTGTAATTCAGTCACAGTTAATATCTATTCAAACCTCTTTGTTGTTTTTGCTAATCTAGTACAACAGTTCAGAAGCAAACAAGGCTATTTCTCTTCCAGAACAACACATTTTGTTGACAAGAAGTTCCTGGCATACTGTGTGCAAAAGACACATAGTAGATCATTAACTGGAGAACAGAACAGGATACTTCTTGGAAAACGCTTCCTTTCCAGCACAGACTTCACCACCACAATTGCTTCAGCATGTATTCGTTTGTTTCCCATTTTGCTTTTCTACAGGATCCACCTTAAAGGAGTTACGGGGACGGCAGGGAAAATAAGCAGCATAAGCCAACCAGGAAATGGTTTTAGCACAAAGGATGCAGACAATGACAAATGTATCTGCAAATGCTCACAAATGCTAACAGGAGGTAAGAGTAGCATTTTCTGCTCACTTCCTATTTTCAGACTCTTCCTATTTCTGCTGGCGCTGAATCGAGCCATAAAAGTAGATTTTGCCATGGTATCTGGGCAAAACCATGAAAAGTCCGAAATGTTGCAATTTGATGGCTTCCACATTTTTCCATTTTGATACTCACTTTTGAATAAATAGCACATAACCGATTAACCAAAAAGTAGACACATTCAGTTGCCAGGGCTGTGCTCAACAGAACAGCAGTAAGTTCTGGTTTTGCATCGCAGCAGCAAAATACCTGGGACACTGCGATACAACCACTAGGACTTTATGACTGCAGGGGTGCAATCTGCAATGTAGCTTGTCCAAGTCAGATTATGCGCACAGACAGAGAAAGTGAAGAAAATATGGGAATGGCGAACAGTCAAATCATCAACTTTCTTCCCTCCTTTTGAACCGGTGTAATGTCACAATAATAGTATGACAGTGTTAACTGACGAAACCTGAGTACAAAGTACTGTGACCTATAGCTAAATCGGACCTTGGGATGCAACATAGAATTAGATAATGGCTGCATTTGGACTAAATGCTCAAACATGGTGTATCATTACAAGACTACACCTAGTCTCAGCGGGCTCACATGCTCCCCTTCCTATCTTCTCTTTCTGCAAGGAGGAGATTCAAAAAAAGGTACAGTTTCCATTTTAGGTGTCATTTGAACACTAAATTGTGGTTAATCTTAACTACAGTTAGCAAAAACCAGACAGCCTAATAAACTATGGCTTGGCTTGTTTCCACTAACCATAGTTAATACTGCCCAAAGTTTGTGCAGTCTTGCCCGATGTGGACCAGCTGCAGTTAATACTACTAATAAAAAACCTCTTCCTTGTGGCTACGGGGAAGAGAGCAGAGTGCATGAGCTCAGGGGAGGCTAGGCTAGTTCTCCTAACTCTAAACTATAGTTTAGTGTTTCGTTCCAGCGTGCTTGGTGCAGCTGCAGTTAACTCTATGCAGGCACTTACTGGGCTCTAAGCATTTTTGAACTCCTGGATTCCTCCCGATACCTCCAGTATCGGAGGCAAATACCGTATTTTTCGCTCTATAGGACGCACCGGACAAAAGGACACACCTTGTTTTATAGGGGGGAGAACAAGAAAAAAAATTCTTCCCCTCTCTGCCCAGCGCCCCTTCAGCGAAGTGGCAGGAGGTGCTGCACAGAGAGGGGGAGAATTTCCCCCCCTTGTTTTCCCCCTCTAAAACAAGGTGCCGTTCAAGGTGCAAGGTGTGCACCGACCCCTCTCGCTCTCCAGGCTTCAGGTTCCTTTCGACCTGCTCTTTGGGGCTGGCGGGGGGAAGCCCACCTCCAGCCCCAAAGAGCAGGTTGGGGAGCAGCGGAAAGGCGCGCAGCAGAGAGGCTGCTGCCATAGCCGTGCGCCACCTCTCCAGCCGGGAGAGGGTCGCGGGGCTATGGCAATACCCCCACCTCCCGCAAAAGCCCACAGGAGCCACACACCCTTTAAGGAGCACGCGGCTCCCGTGGGCTTTTCTACGAGGAGGGAGAAGGGACTGACTGGCCGCGTCAGTCCCTTGTCCCTCCTGAGAAAAAGCCCGCAAGAGCTGTGCGGAGCTTGTGTGCGGCTTTTGGGGGCTTTTCCTGCCTGTCTTCCCCCTGCATTCGCTCCATAGGACGCACACACATTTGCCCTTCATTTTTGGAGGGGAAAAAGTGCGTCCTATAGAGCGAAAAATACGGTACTTCTGAATGCCATTTGCTGGGGCATAACAGTAGGAAAGCTCATATCCTGCTTGTGGGATTCCCATAGGCAAGTGGTTGGCCACTGTGGGAAACAGGATATTGAGCTGGATAGGCCTTTGGTCTGATCCAGCAGAGCTGTTCTTATGTTCCTACCACAGGAACTTCACTCTGTAAACACTGCAGCAACTGCTATTACGCATAGTAATAACAATTAGAAATAATTGTGCAGGCCCAGCAAAAGTAACTAGCGCCACTAGAACAGCTCATTTTTTAAACTCACCATTTTTAGATATATCTAGGAACTATAAAACCTAGAGAATGGCAACAGAGGGGATTCTGTTGCCCAGAAGCGGATAAAATTTGCAGGCACGGCATCCTCCTCTGAAGGGATGAATACTTTCCACATAAGAAAAGGATAGCTGCTGTGGTTTTCTTGCAGAAGAAAGCTTCAGGTTCTGGGGTGCCTGAAACAATTCCCTATGGCTTAGGATCAATTTGTATAACAACAGTGTTTATAATAAAGGTGCCCCTAGAGAAGAAACCAGCTAATAGGTCCAGGGATTTTTGTGTTTGTGGGTCTTTTAAAGTTGACTGAGCAGAGAATTAAAAGGGGGCGATCAAATTTGATCCAGTGTGTTGAAGCACTTGATCCAGCACAAGGATCTCAGGATGAGTGCCAAGAGGGCTACATCATGTTGAACTTGTGCACTAAGATATATGTCTTTGATATAAAGCAGTTCCTGTTCAGCTTACTTAGAATGAGAGTAGCTAGAACAGCAGGTGTCAGGTGTATACGTGTATATAACATATACACATATACATATATTCTAGTATGTTGTGTACGTGTGATTATTTTAAGATTTATAAAAAAATCTGAGAATCTGTATAAACAACTTGAAAGCAATGCATCTATTATTATTTTTTCACGCTCCCTTTCATTTATATTTTTTTAAACAGGATGGTGGTTTGATGCATGCGGTCCTTCCAATCTGAATGGCCTGTACTATCCATTGCGACAGAACACAAACAAATTTAAAGGAATTAAATGGTACTACTGGAAAGGCGCAGGCTACTCTCTCAAGGCCACAACTATGATGATCCGACCAGCAGATTTCTAAAAACATTTGCTCTTTGTATGAAGTGCCTATTGAAATAACTTCAAAATACTATATTTGACAAATATTTTAAGACCACAGATGCAGCTTAACTGGTTTTTCTCCGCCTGGATAACATGCACATATATCCTTCGGGAATCAGCTTGTTTTCAACAGCCACTGAATTTCATCGCAATTAAATGTCAAGCAAGAAGAGGTATCTGATGCAATAATGACTTGGCAAAAGAGAACAATAAAAGGACTCCCAACCAGCTTAAGGTGTTTGTGCATAACTGGAACTGTGAAATACATCTAGATCATAAACAGAAATTACTTAAGCTTTCGAAGTGATTCTTTATGCCCTTTTACTGAACTTTAATGACTACCTTAAAACAAGGGACACTTATTTGGTCATCTTTATTGTATTCCTATTCCTATTCCTATCTCATGCCATGGTTGTAATTATGTACATAAGCACATTGTTTTGTAATTACTTCCTGTAGTCTGATTCCTACCATTTGTAATCACATATTTGGGGATATTTGGTAGCCCATACTAGTATATTTAATAAGGATTTGTAAAAAATATTTCTATGCTTTACATCCAGTACCAAGTATATAATAATAGACAACTATTTCCCCCTTTTAATATATCAGATATTTCCATCAGTATTTTAAAAGTCAGAATAGCCCTGCAACACATATTGTGTGGTTAAATATATTTTGTAGGAAAATTGCACTTTTCTTCTTTCCTAGTTCCTTTATGTTTAAATAACACCCAGTAGTTGGGACATTTCTCGGTATTTTGGATGCATTTAAACAACAGCAAACTGTTTCTGCTTTCTCTGAGAATTAAGTACGGATTAGAGCAGGAGTATCGGGACCAGCTTCCCGGGTGAAAGTTGACATTCTGATAACAGATGATTGACAGGAGGGTTGCCCCCACCCACCTGTCAAAAGCCTTTTCACAACATTTCCACTTAGGAATCACACCATAAGGGATGTTGTCAGCCCCATGTCTGGTGAATGGGGCGGTTTCATTAGAAATTTTACATGACTTGAAAGTTTGAATATTCCCGTACTAACAGGCCTTTGTCAACAGAAGGTAAAGGGGAAGAAATTTTTTTGTCACCATTTGATTGGATATATTGTGAGCACACTTCTGTTGTTGATTCATATTCCAAGATAAAAAAATGACTTATTTCTGAAAAAGTTAAAAAGTAAATCATGTATTACTTACTGGGGCTGCAGGGAAATCCACAGAGAGTTCATAGGGTTCTTCAGACATCCAGTGGCCATATTCAAGAGACCACAACACCTACAAAAAGATCAAACTATATTTAGTTGTATTCAGAAACTGAAGAGTAGTCTCTATGAATACATAAATAAAATAAATCAGAAGTTGAGCAGGCAGCACTATATTGGGGTTCTACTCCCCATGTCAGATTTTGGGAAGCTATGAATTATACATATAGACGTATCATGGCAAAGAAAACATGGCGCTATAAATTTTAGTCTACTTAAACTGTTTCTCAGAAGTGATATACTACTGTGCAGTAAGACAAGATGAAAACTTAAAAGTCAAGGAAAAACACTGGAAAAACACTAAGGAAAAGCTCAATGAAGGTTAAGGGTTTCCAAGTCTGTAGATATGGGTCGGACCCACAGTATTATTTCAGGTGTTTGGGATTTGGGGCATTTTTTTCTTTTCTTTCCTCCCTCTTTAAACAGATGTCCATGCTGCATCACAGACTCCTTTTGAGGTGCCCTCAGTCTGAGAAGCAACTTTGCTGCACTACAAGGCAATCAGCTGTTCAAGAAGCACAACCTCAATGCTCTTTTGAAAATGGAAAGCAACTGCCCATGTCTTCGGATCCTGGCCATTGAGCCCAAGCTCTACTTATTTCTTTTCTAGCACACTGTTCATTCATGATCTCAGGGTGGGCTACAGCATAAGGGGTTAAAACAACACCTTCACTATCAAACAGATAAAACACCACACTTAAAGTAGTCATAAAAAGGTAAAGGTAAAGGACCCTTGACAGTTAAGTCCAGTCACGAACGACTCTGGGGTTGCAGCGCTCATCTCGCTTTACTGGCCGAGGGAGCTGACGTTTGTCCGCAGACAGTTTTTCCGGGTCATGTGGCCAGCATGACTAAGCTGCTTCTGGCGAAACCAGAGCAGCGCACGGAAATGGCATTTACCTTCCCACCAGAGCGGTACCTATTTATCTACTTGCGCTGGTGTGCTTTCGAACTGCTAGGTTGGCAGGAGCAGGGAATGAGCAACGGGAGCTCACCCCGTCGCGGGGATTTGGACCACTGACCTTCCAATTGGCAAGCCCAAGGCTCTGTGATTTACACCACAGCGTCACCCGTAGTCATAGGCAACTCCAAACTTTCTTAAAACTAAGCTACAACTGTGGAATTGAACTCCATCAAACTAAGGCAAAGGCTTGAGGTAAACAAGATTGGCGCCAATTGTACTTCCGCAAGTGAGGTACCTCCGCAAAGAGGACCGCTGCAAGAGAATACCAATGTTGATGTTAAAAAACGAGTCTTGTGGCACTTAGAGGGTAACAAAGGAAGCACAGCATAGCTTTTCATGCACTACCGTCATAAGATGCTGTCTTATTATGGCACTGGATGATCATGAAAGCTAAAGGTGCCACACAACCCCTTGTTGCTTTTGCTGCTGACTAAGGCTGCAGTGCTATACCCACTTACTTGGGAGCAAGCCCCATTGAAATCAGTAGGATTTACTTCACAGTAGACATGGTTACGATTGGGCTGTAACATGGTTGATGTAGGATTGAGCTGGAAAACAATGTAGCATAGAAACCAAGCTTGCGTGGCTGTTTTGAACAGATCTGATGAAAAATTCAAATAGGTCTTATATCGGCTTGCAACTATGCCACTACTTAGTGGCATATATTGCAACTATGCCACTAGTCCCATGAGACAGAGAAGTAGAGAGGAACAGTGACTTTAACTGCAAGTAAAAATCTACTTTCTTGCTACAGACCCAAGCATCTACCAAATTTGTGTTCCTTAGATGCGTGAGTGGCTCCCCTGGATAGCATGTTTGTGGTTCAGCAGCCTATAACTGTGGAAAAGACCTGGTGGAAGTCAGAAAACCTCCTTTGTGTATGGCTTTTTTGGCCCTAAAAAGTCACCCACTTGTAGCTGGTGATCTTTGGATACAAGTATATTTACCAAGTTTATTGCTTCTTTTATTTGGCAATCTGGTTAGAAAAAGGTTTCGGATGCAAAGCACAGTTGTTGATTTATTTCGGCAATCTGCAGCAATTCAAAACTGTCTCAAGTTATGAACATTTAATAAAACTTAAGTTTTTTAAAAATATGTATTCTCGGCTCCCACACTACATAGGACACACGTGCAAGGATATGAACAAATAATTTAGGCTTCCTTGCACCAACTGGCCATCCTTCCTCAGCTGTAACTTGACTGTAATTACAGTAGCTAACTCCACTGGCAATTTCTGTCTCTCAGCGCTATGCAAAATTAGATAATGTGTGAAACAATAAAACAGACAGCAAAAATCACAGCCATTCATTGTTAGATCAGTGGTCAGCAGCTGGGGTGTTCATAACAATGATTTAACATGCCCATACCCGGAAGGGCCATTACAAAGAGAGCTGAACAAAAGATCAAAACAAGTGCAGTTGAAAACGGTTCAATGACTTTTTCCACAGGAACAATATGACATCCTCTGTTATGTGTGTCACTTCCGCCACTAGCTTCTATTTAAGAAAAAGACTGGGATGTGTTCTGTCACAAATTTTCACCAATAAAAGATTTAATGCAATTATTGTCTGGTAAGTGAGGGAAGAACATTGCTAACAGCATCCGGTGACTTGCCAAATCTTTGCCAACTCATGGTAATCCTTCTTAAATCAACAAAGGGGTTGTGGCTCAGAAGCATTAATGGTTGAATGAAGGCCTCTCAATTGTCTCTGAAAGCTCTTGGAGTAATAATGGACCATTTCAAACAAAGCAATAAACCATGTTTTAGTGCTAGGCAAAATGCCTGAGTGAATCTTCTGCTTTCTGCACACCCATCTTGTTTTCCTGAGTGGATAGGGTGACTTTGCTAACATTCAAAGTGACTTTCTCTGCATATAAACCAAAGACCTTGGGTTAGTCTCAAACTCTTGTCCATTTCAAAATATGCTAACTTTAAACCATGGGTTATGAAGCAGGCTTGTTTAATTAAGCCGGCATTTGTGATAAACTACAATCCCCGGTTCACACACAACAAGCAGAAATAAGGAGAAAGTGAAATTAAATACTGGCTCCATCACCAAATTCTTGGAGCTTTTCCCAGGCTCAACCCTCCCCCCCCATTCTTTTCTTTTTTCCCTGTTCCTGGACCTCAAGGGTTCTTCCAGTTTGTCCTACTCAAATACCAGATTATTTTATCTGAGAAGTTTGCAATGCACAGTACACATGACACACAGGTTATCCAGGTCACTTTGAATGTTGCTAATGGAAAGACCATCACTGAGAAAAGAAGATACTTGTGAAATATAACATTTCAAGAGATTCCGGTATGGCTAACGTAACACCAAATAGGGGAAAACAGAAAGCAAACATTAGACAATGCAGTTCAAATCTTCAAAGAACAAGTTGTGTAAAAGTTTTAGTTTAAAAGTACTTATTAATGTACAATTGCAGGCCATACCTATATTGGTTGTATTTACAGGCCTGATTCAGAAACATCTAGCCAGATATCATTTATTTCAACATGGTTTCAGAAAATATGATCCATCTGGCACAGAAATCCCCTGGCATTAAATAACTTCCTGTTTCTGCAGCTGTGTTTGATTCCTTCCCAATCCTGGGACAGTGGGGCTTCAGTTGCCTTTTGCTTATAATCTATTTTTCTTAAAATAACTATGTAGAGTTTGAATACTAGTTTACCATACTTTTGAATGTCTGTGTTTTATCCCATTAGATTTTAAAATAATGTAGAAAATATATGTAAACCCCTCGCCATTATTTCTGGAGTTTATTTGTAGGCTGATTTAATGCTGAAAGCAACTCCTATACAGTGAATTGAAAATCTAGATTGAGGTGGGGAATCTTTTGGCCTAGCAGGCCAGATCCCTATCTGTCCCAACCTTGTGGGCCAACTTTGACGAGTGAGCAGGATGACCCACCTGCCAATTACCTCATGCCATTATGATGCCAGAGGATTGACACCCATCCATCTGACAAAATCCCTTGTGCAGCACTTTCCAAGTGCCCAACAGTCAGTAGTACTGCAGTTCCCAAGAGCCTTTGCCAGCCTTATGTCTTCCTGTGCCAAGCATAGGGCTAGCAAAGCTGATTTCTGCAGGGATCAGCTGGACAATCGAGTTCCCCAAGGGGAACTTGGTCATGCAAGTTGACTCCTCAGGCTTTAATGTCAACTTCATTCCTGCTTTCTGGAAAGACCAGCTGCATGGTCGAGTTCCCCATAGAGAAGTTAACTGCATAGCTGATCCAGCCTGCTCCGCACCTGACATCACAAGTGCTGGGTCAAATTTGGAGGTTCCCCATCCCAATCTAGATGAATTAAGCATATTCTCATGGTTTAATACAGGCTTCCTCAAACGCGGCCCTCCAGATGTTTTGAGACTACAATTCCCACCATCCCTGACCACTGGTCCTGCTAGCTAGGGATCATGGGAGTTGTAGGCCAAAAACATCTGGAGGGCCGAGTTTGAGGAAGCCTGGTTTAACATGTATGTTCAGTTCAATGTTCACCAAACCATCATCAGATGTTCAGCAAAAGTTGTAGTACTGGATAGCATCCAGAAAATGGCAAGCAGAAATCTGTTTGTACAATGGAGCTTTCTCACCTCCCTTTCCCCCTTGTAAAGTCAGTCCTGAGGGTTGGAGGAATGATATGATATGATGCATGATATTGATATGCGACAAAGAGCTGCAGCTGTGTGTGTGTGTGTGTGTGTGTGTGTGTGTGTGGAAATTAGAGGCCTCGCCCCTTTTACTCACACAAGGGGCTCCTCCCCAATGTAATAATCTAGCAACAGTCATCCATCACCATATGGGTGGAATCAGTTATTGCTTTAGTTCTGTTTCCTGATTACTTACTAACAACAGAAAACAAACATCCATCCTAAAATTAATTTCCCTTTGGTTTGGGGTGCAGAGTGGCCTGAATCCTTCGGTCTCTGCTGTGTTCCCAATACCCACCCACCCCCAACTCCATGCCTGCAGT